GACCATATTCATATTCACATTTATTCGCCAAGACTTATTCATATTCATATTTACTCGTGAATATTCACATTATTCGTATTCATTTCGGAGCTCTATCCATAGTGGTTCGCAACTTGCTGTAGACAAAGAACCCTAACCCTCAGTCGAAAGGTGCACTACCTAGGTGCACTACCGGAGGTGGAGCCGCAGCCTCGCCGGGCGCACCGCCCCATTGGTGGCCTCATCGAAGTGCTCTACAGGAGGGGGCCCGCATACAGGATAGGCTGCTTCGCCCGACCTTCCCTCCTTGTGTTCCGTAGCCACGGGTTCGTACAGTATGCGGCCTGCTGGTCAGGCCGACTTGTAACACTCTATAAGAAGGCGAACTGTATAATATTGCTTGCCGATAGTAGGATCCGAAGAGATCTTTCCGAGCGTAATCCTTGTTGCAGGCGATGTACACGAGGCAACTGACTTCCTTAGATAAGGTTCCGAAAATCCAAATTTCTGCTAAAAAATTCCGAATCTCTTGGCACCAGCTTTATTAAAGTCCGTGGAATCCGAGCCACAGCTAAACCTGGGCCAAGAAATTGCCAAGGGTTGGAGGAGATTCCCGAACGAATGATAAGACCTAGCGGCATAGGGAATCTGGGGGCCCCGGGGTTCTTTGTGAGATAGTACTTTCCCCTTTTCAGAGGTGACACCTAACTATACTCTTGGCATGACGGTCGCAGCTAGTTAGACTTGATGTCCTCTTGAAGTTTCCGAATGCCATGGTCTTGGTACTATTTGGACCAAGGCTCACCTAACACACTAAGACTTAGTGGTGCTTAGTTTACATCAACTCTCGGGACACTCTTCGGCAAGATCATTAGAGCTGACAGATTGTGGCGAGGAACTTGTATCACTCGTGTCCGAAATGCCGTCGGTATTTCCTGCTTCCTGGGGCTATATAAGAGCTACGCCGCCTTCTCATTTATACTACCTAAGGGCCCTCAGATCTTCTAACACGCCACAGAACACATATCTTTAACGAGCCGCAGGCATGTTCAACGAGCCAAAAGATGCTTCCTCGAAGAAGCCTCTTGAAACTATCCATCTTGAGGAGGGCGACCTCGGTACAAAGTCGGCAGCGGAAAAGAATCATGCCTCCTCTGAGCTAGAGCTTAGCTGGTCCCCTGAAGAAGAGACAGGTTTAGTGTGAGTATTTGTCTGCTATACATTCGGTCCGGCTAATGTGGGTTGCAGCAAGAAAATAGACCGTCGTGTCTTCCCCATGCTATGCATAGTGTTTGCTCTCAGTCTTCTTGACAGGGTTAATATCGGCGCCGCGTATATTGCCGGAATGGGAAAGGACCTTGGGCTGGCTGTGGGATCTCGCTATTCCGTCGTCCTCTTAATGTTCTTCCCCGGTTATACGCTTTTGGAGCTGCCTTCAAATTATCTTATCCGGCGAGTTGGGTGAGTGAAAAGATCCTTCACAATTCTGTCAGATAACATGCTAATGAAAGGTTCACCAGACCCCGAGTGTGGCTTAGCTTTCTGGTCGTTTCCTGGGGCCTGGTTGTTCTTTTTACGGCTTTCGTCGAATCTTGGAAGACCTTGACACTTTGTAGAGCACTTTTGGGCGTCTTTGAAGCCGGTCGTACGTCTTGCTGACCTCAATTCTTTGCCCATTCATGCTGATGATTGTTTGACAGTTCTCCCTGGAGGGATTTACATCATTGGAGCCTGGTATCGCCAGTATGAATGTGCGAGCCGAGTCTACCTTTTTTATATGTCGTCGGTGGTGGCAGCTGCATTCGGCCCAATCCTGGCATACGCTTTGTCACTAATCAGTGTCGGCAATGGCAATTTCGCTCACGGCTGGCGTTGGATTTTTCTCATCGAAGGTCTCATCACTGTTGTGGCTGGTCTAGTGTCACCTTTCTTCCTCGTGGACTTTCCTGAACGAGCTAAGTGGCTTACAGCCCGTCAGAAGCACATAGCCTCAGCCAGGCTGATGCCCGATCAACAAGCGAAGGAGTATATTCAACCAACGATCATGCAGGGGTTGAAAATGCTCTGGGACTGGAAGCTTTTGGCCTTCTCGATGCAGTATTTCGTGTGTTCCGCTTCCTCCTACGTCTTGACTTTCTTTTCCCCGATAATTTTGCGACAGGGCATGGGGTTCAGTTATGTCATGTCGCAGGTTATGTTGTCGCCACCGTTTGTCTTTACTATCTTCCTCGGCATGGCCCTGGCGATTATTTCCGACAAGTATAAGACTCGATGGCCGGTGCTCTGTGGACAATCGATGTTAACTGTCCTAGGCCTCTTGATCGTTCTCTATGGTCGACTGCCAGGTGTGCAGTACTTTGGACTTTTCTTGGCTGTCTGTGGAATAACTGCGAACGTCCCTGCGACACTGTCGTATGGCCAGAGCAATACAGCTGATGTCCGGAAGAAGGGCGCTGCAGCAGCTGCTATGGTCAGCATGGGCGGTGCAGGAGGAATCTGTGGAAGCACGATCTTTAGATCGAGAGATGCTCCTCGGTATCTACCCGGTATTTGGACTATACTAGGCTTGCAACTCGCGTTTATACTTGGAACCTTTGCGCTCAGCAAACATTTGAAACGGCAAAACAAGCTGGCCGACGAAGGTAAAAGACCAGCTCTGGAAAATGTAGAAGGATTTCGGTACGCGCCATGATTCCAGAGCAGGTATGAACAGGTTGTACGTTATCTTCGGAAAATCAGATCCTGCCAGCAAGCTTTCAGACCTCGGTTAGAAATTGTCCTCTGCTATGCAATTTTTGGGTTCCTACCTAGCTAGGCGACCGTATGTTTGACAGGATATATAGATCCCTCAGACTCTGACCGGGTTCTTAGATAGGACAATCATACCATTCAGACGTCATTTTATGCTCCCAAAAAGGCCTAATAACTGATTTTCACTACTTAATAGTCTAAGGCAACTTTGGGAAGAAGTTAAGTGGCGCCGGTAACATTCATTTTTCCCTATTTTTTCTTTCGACAACTTCTCCCCTTGGGGTCCTTTAGGTAGCTCAGAGAGCATGTGATATGTACTTAGCTCAGACTGAGAACGCTGTGCAGGATCTATCAGCGTGGGACTGACTGATTTCTCTTGACCTACTTCTATAACTCTATCACCGTGCTATTCTTTCCCCCATGCGCGTCTACTAACATTTGTGCGAAAATCTGGGTTCTTCAGAGGTGCAGCTACAAGGGATTGTGTGAGGATCCTATCAAAGAACAACCATATCCCGAAAACCAAATAATTGCCTTTGGCTGCTATTCTTCTTTTACTCTGGACATTGTAACAAAGAATCCTTTAGGTACACATGAGCTCTATGCCAGCTCCCAAGATGCTCCTCAGCGTCTCAAGGTCTCGTCACCGAGTGCCAACTTTCTCATTCAGCTTTAATGTCTCACGATGCATGTCTTCCGCCGGCATTATTCTGTCTCTGACAGACCAGTGCTTCAGCAGGCTCGTTTACGCTCGTCAGAATCTAGGCAAGTTGTCTTCTAATCTTATACGATTGTTTGAACCGACTGAAGGCTGGCAGATATACGTAAGTCGAAGCAATCATCTCGTTCCCCTCCCTCGTAGATGGCACTAAGGCGAAATTGTGCTCACATTCTGCCTATAATACCGTGTATGGCTCTCGTGGATAAACAGGCATGTTCTGTTCTCGGCTTGTAAATGCACCGCGTCAGGCCTGTTTTTAACTAGACTATTTCAAGGTTGGCGGGATGTCAATTCCGGGTTCGGCATTTCGGTATTGGGCAAGGCCGCGGTTCCCAGTTCGGTGAGCAGAACTCTTCTCGATAAAATTATCCTAGCTCTTTCCCCATCCTCGAATCTTCCAGGAAGGGCCAGAAGCTGATTCTCCAATGTATGATCGCCAAGCCAGACCTCGAAGTGGAGGCTGACGCTTCTTATTACCGAGCTAGGGTCAGGTGGTTATGCTGTAAAATATAGCCATCAAGCGAAGCTTTCAGGCTTGAACGCAACCGACCACACGGCTTTAGGAGAGTTGTACGCAGACCGTGGACTGGCACGTGAGGAGCCGAGGAGGATACTATGCTGTCGGTATTTCGTGCTCTCTCCGGACTGACGCTCCGGAATTGGATCGAGTACAACGACCATTTACACTGTGAAGGATATAATATGCAGAAACAGTTCAGTCTCTTCTCGCAGAACGCCTTCGAAGCACACTGCGATTCGAGGGTAGACTTTCAAATTAACATATCGCTCGCTCTTTAGCAGTATTCGCGAGTGATAAATCTGGAACGTCAGGGCGAAACATACTGCAAACGAGGTTAAATGCGGATCGACACCCTCAGAGCTTAGGGCAGACATCGCAGGGAAATCAGTATTTGGATCACCCTGGAGTACCTAACTGTTGTTCCGAGGACAAACAAATCCTCAGGTTGACTCCTGTGACCCCGCGCTTAACTTTTTAGAGCTTAGCCTCGCCGGTATAAGAATTCGTCGCAATGATGTAGAACCGGCAATTCATTTCTAGCTGACTCTAAGATTACACTTAAGGACCACTGCATAGGGATCACCGTGGCGAGAATGATTCATTGCCCTGATCAAACGTGACAAATGCCTGCGGTAGAGTATGAAGTCTACGTGAATAGAGAATCACAGTTTATTAGTAGCCAGCTTGAAATTATCGGTGCGAAACTGCTGGCATGCGAGGAGGGCTATAATAGAGTTAGAAGGCAAAGCATTGTTTACAATGCAACTTCTGGACAAGGCATTCCAGAGCCACTAGAGATCCCTATTCAAAAGAGCCCATGTTCCTAACCAATAAAGACATAAAGCTCGTTTAATAGCATTGCTTCCAACGCTGGCCTGACCAGGTTAAATACATTGAGACTCTGTACACACTTCGAATGAAGGGAAAGAAGAAGGAGAACCATATAAAGTTTGATAATACTTGGGGTAGTTTGTTACCGAAGGGTTTTGACTGCGGAGTAATAGGTCGTTACGGAAAGGATTATTGCGGAACTAACAACGGAGGTCCCAGCCAGATATAATGTTGAACAAGGCTGAGTTGTGACGGGGTCATTACAACCTCCATACTTGCGCCGAACGCCTCCGCGGAACTTCGCCGCCTAGAACGCTCCTTTTGCAAACCTTGCAACACGATGAATTCACTCACTTTAGTCACATTTTCGCTATATCATAGTCCTCAGGATGGAGGAACAGGACCTCCCCGACACAAGGACGCCGGCCCCCGACGAGGACCTCATCGGTCGCCGCCGATGCCCGGGAGAAAAACCTCTCCACCAAGACGAGAAAACTTTCACTCCTTTAACATATAAATAGATAGAACAGCGACCTCCTAGTCCTGGAGGTCAGACTCGTCAATATATCCCATTTAGCCCCCGACATCGCCTAGAACTGAGTGTTGCACAACATATAAGCTCTTTACGGAAAAAGATTACTACGGAACCAACAGCGAAAGTCCGAGCTAGAACCTCGGCTGTATTAATATAACCATGACATTCCCGTTGACAACAATCGATGTTCTAAACGATAAATGCCTGGAGACTCTGTGCACAATATTATGCTGAAAATCATAGTATAACTAGTCAAACTTGAGACACATTATCTTGGTATATATATCTATTCACTATACCTTCTCAGCTCGAGTACTCTCTCAAGATTTACATTGATTATTCCAAGACCATTCCAATCTTTTATAATATGGCCGTTCTGTATGAGATTGTGCGGCCGGTTCCAATTCTTGTGATCCTAATCGGCTTGGCCACTTTGCCTCTCATCGTCAAAATTTTCCTACAATATTGGCGGCTTCGTCACATCCCAGGTCCATGGCAGGCAAAATTAACCAATTTCTGGCTAGCCAGGAGAGTCTGGAGAGGGGAAAACTTTCCTGATATTTCCAGGGACTTGGACAAGCGATTCGGCCGAGTCGTGGCGTATGGCCCAAACAGGATCTTGTTCAATGAGCCTACAGCTATAGGTATTATATTCAATACCAGAAATCCCTTTCCCAAGGTATAGCGTACCCGTTGCTCTTACATATAAGTGGGATACTAATTCTCTTGAGCCCGATTCCTATAATGTACCAGTACAAGCCGTCAATGGTAAATTGATCAGTACATTTATCACGGAACGTAGCGAAGCCCGAATATCTATCATCAAAAAACAAATTATTGGCGCATTTAGCACCAATGCAATACTTGCCTATGAGCACCATATTGATCACAACATCACACGCCTAATGGACCGCTTTACGCTCTCCGAACAAGATAAAGTCTTCAACATTGCAACTTGGAATATCTTCTTTGCCATGGACACAATCTGCAATATCGCCTTCAGTGACAATCAAGGCCTAGTGGAAAGACAAGCTGATATAGGCCGGACTCTCCAGGGGGGGAAGGAACGGTTGCTACATTGGCACAACTGGCAGTCCCTACCGTGGCTCGAGGAACTCATCTTCAAGAATAGATGGGCGACTAGAGGTAGCCAAAAGAGCTCTAAACTCGGCGAGCTCGCCACGGAGCGACTTCAGGAACGCATGGAGAAGGGTGGAAGAGGGAACTTTTCGGATTTGCTCGACCGCTACCTGCAAGCCCGAGAAAGAGACCCTGCCACATTCACGAGATCCACGATTCTCGGTCTAGTCATGTCAATAATTGCTGCCGGCGGAGACACCACTTCCTCAACCATTAACGTGACCCTCTACTACCTTTTGGCAAACCCGCGGACAATGGCCAAGCTCAAGGCTGAAATCTCCCAAGCAAATCTATCTTTTCCACCAGCATGGGTCAACGTTTCTAAGCTTCATTATCTTGATGCATGTATCAAAGAAGCCGGCCGCTTACGTCCCCTCCTCTTGGACCCGCTGGAACGCGAAGTTCCTGTTGACTCCCAGATTGCTGGTGTTTTCGTCCCGGCCGGAACCGTCGTGGCCGTAAATACACACGCGTTGAACCTTGAACCCGAGATCTGGGGCAGCAAGACCCACGAATTCAGACCCGAACGATGGCTCGACTGCGACGAACAGCAATTGCAGAAAATGGAGAGATGTGATCTATTCTTCTCCGGTGGAAGGAGGATTTGCATCGGGCAGCATATCGCCTGGATCGAGATGAAGAAATATATTACTGCATTACTGTTAAGATTTGAGGTAAGAAAAATTTCATCCCCCATTGTCGCTCGCTCTCTCTGTATTCTGCTTTCCTTTTCACCCGGACTTATCTCTGCGTATCACACAGATCGAAGCTGTCGAACCTAACGCGCCGCTAAATTGGTCCGGAAGCGTAAATCTTTCCGTTGACGAGCTTATGGTGAGAATAAGAGCGCGGTAACTACTATTAGTTGTTGGGCATGATATGGAGTAATATGCCTAGGCTAGTTACATGACATGAAAAATCTCCGGGAAATCAAATTACCGTCCAGTACGGAGTACAGTACATCAAAACAAGACCAAACAGCGAAAACAACCATAACCCCAAAGCATCATTACCGACGTCACCGTATCGTCTGGTAATCCACCATATCATTCGGTTTCGATTAAGAGCTCTAAGAGTCACTAACGTAATCCACGGGCTAGTGGTTCGCACGGGCTAGTGGTTCGCAGATCCATCACCGCCTTCAACACATGTTTATTAATTATCTCCACCACCATGAGTTCTATTCAATTACAACAAGAAGGCAGGCTCCAATTAGCCATTAAAGCTCTGCACGATGGCAAATTTGACCGCGTTAAGCACGCGGCGCGCGCGTACAACGTGCCACACACGACATTCACGCGTCGACTCCGAGGAATCGCTCCCCAGCGCGGTACGCCTGCAGCTAGAGCTCCGAAATGAATACGAATAATGTGAATATTCACGAGTAAATATGAATATGAATAAGTCTTGGCGAATAAATGTGAATATGAATATGGTCCGTATTCATATTCGCAATATTCGTGAATATTCATGAATATTCACACATGTGGGGGCCCTTTTGACAGGGCATTTTCCTTATTCTTCTATCCTCGCTGTCACTGCCTGGTGAATCGCCAATTCAAAGAAGTCTCTCACCATAGTATTAACCCTACGGCACAGCGTCTCTGCTGCTGCTCCGCTACTTATGCCACGCTTTTTGTATCTTTCCTATCTACCTGCGGGAATCGTAGTGATCCTTGAGCAGAACTAACGATCGCATAGTGTCAGCGTTCATCGACTGCCGCCGGAGACCCAGGACGTCTCGAGCCCCACTGAACACACGTTCCACTCCGACCTCGGTCGAGGGAACCGACAGATAATCACGGGCGGCGCGTGCCATCGACGGGAACTCGAAAGCATTGGCCTTCCACCACCGGAGCACCCAGTCCGCCGCGCCATCCTCCACACAACCCTGCGACCAGCTAACCACGGCCGAATCAAGATACCGGTCGACGTCCGACGTCTGGATGCCAGCTCCCGGCTGCAGCCGTCTCAAAGTTTTCCACAACGAGTCTGGCATACCAGCCGGTTGTTTAGGCTCCGGGGGAAGACTGAGCTGAAACGGATATTCGGTCTTGAGAAAATCTCGGACTTGTGACACGGTGGACGCCGCTTCGGCCGTGTTCATGTGATCTGTGATCAATGAGGTCTTGATGCGTGGATCCAACACTGTCGATACATAGTATAAGATGTTCTCGTCCATTCTCCGAATGAAATTATCCGCCTTCTCGAGCGCATGCCGGGCCGCCTCTTGCACCGACATATGGATGTCCTGGAACTCGCCCTGCGCGGTGCTGACGTCGGTGAGCAGATCATTAAGACTCCAGTATATGGCCAGACTGTCCCCGATGGCAGGCATGTCGGAAGAGACGATGTTGGTGTAATCCCAGAAAGGCTTCAGGACCCTTTCGATGTGTCCCAGTAGCACCCAGTCTTCTTCCGACGGCAGGAGATTCTCGATCTCTCGGTGAGTCCGGCTGTATTGGGTCAATTCCTTCCGTAGTCGGAGCGCGTCGGCGATCATGGTGTAGGTCGAATTCCATCGAGTCTCCACATCATAGCGAATGAGTTTCCGAGGCGACACCTCTCGCCATTCCCGCAGTCGCTGGGGGCTCCGTGCAATCCAGAGCACGAGCATGCGGATCCTCGCCACAGCATTCTTCCCTGTGAGGGCGTTCACGCTCGACTCGGAAGGCCACTGGCTTCGTGATGCACTCGCCTGACCCAGCGTAGCCTTCGCTTCTTTGACCGATCCCATCCCAAGCTGTGTCAGAATGTCTCGGCAGATGAGATTGATGATGTGTGCCAGGCATCGAATAAAGCTGGGGCGGCCGTGGAAACGCATGAGCGGCCGCAGGCGAAAATCTCCATCCTCGTCATCATAGACCTTCGACAGCTCCGCATAGATCGTATCGCACATGGTTCCGTTATTGCCGGCATTGTCACCGGTGATCGTAAGGAGTTTCGGGGCCAGATCGAGCTCGTGAAGCAACGCGAGGACCACCGCCGCCATATTCTCGCCCGAATGTGGTCCGGGAAGCTCGACAGAATCCAGGAGCACTTCTCGCCTCTCGAAGCACGGCGTGGTCCAATGTCCAATCACCGCGAGAATACTGAGTTGGTGCTCAGACGTCCATGTGTCGAGGGCGATGGCAATACTGTCACAGGTTTGGGCGAGCTCGCGCTTCAATCCCAGCCGATAATCTTCAAACTCATTCCTGACACGATCGCGGAGAGTGTCCGCACATTTCAGAGGCACCTCGACCCCGACCGCATCAAAAATCCCTTGGAAGCTCGAGTGTTCGACTGCGGTAAAAGGCTGTCTGGTCTGGACGATCCACCGGACCAGTGCATGTTCCAGGCCCGTGCGCTCTTGCCGAGGAGACAGCATCCGGTCTAAAGGGCCACGAGCCGGGCCTGATGTCAATTCTGAACGCGGCCCAATACGGTGGCGCGTCCGAAGGTGAGTGAGCAGATTGGAGGTTGTGCCGTGGCGAGACGAGTCAGAGGACGACCAGCTACACCGCTTACAGACGAGCAGGCGATCATTCTGTGGCAGTCGGCCTCTTTTGTTCCACTGCGTATGAAGCTCGGTAACCCAAAAATGGTCTTGAGTCCAGCTGGTGTGAACTTTTCGCCTCTTCGCCGCGGACTCGTCCACAGTCGGGCCAACCGACAGGTGACGTTCCTCAGAATCCGAAGTGACGACTGTTGAGGGGCCACTGGACACTTGTGAGACCGACTCGGATGGCAGTGGCCCTTCACAGTCATCGCAACCTGTGGTGCCTGAGACAACGCTCTGTTCAAGGTCCGGCGAGGACGGCGAAATCAACGTGTCGAGCCCGTTGTTGAGCGCAAGGTAGTCTTTGCGAGGTAGATTACGCGTCACACGAGGTTCTCCCGGAGCGACAGCCATATCCTCCAATGCGAACTGCTCGTTCGGCATGTAGAGACAATAGAAGATCAAGTTCATCCGTCATGAGGAGTCCTCATTGTCAAAATAAAACCGCGCCTCACCTAAGCTAGAACGGACTTTAAAAAAAACAATTTCGCGTACCGTGAAGTTTCGACTCACTCAGAACGTGTTTGAAGGGTGCATTACGCGCATTCCTCCCTGTACAGCATCTATACGGATTCTGTGCCGTTGTAGGCGCATCGTGTGCCCTCGGCGCCGCGTTTATTGATTTGATGCGAGGAAGTCGATTAAGGTTGAGTAGAAATAACACAGTTTCAGGCGGGCATCACCGTCGAAACTCTGCATCAATCTTCGGTGCCTCTTAATTGCGTCAAATGATGGACAATGGATAGTAAACAGATTGAAGTGTGTCAGCGGAGCACGACGCAAGCTTCCCTGGGAATATCCGAAGATTTCTAAGGTTAAAAGAGGTGAAGAATCCATGTTGTTGTTGATTGTCGGAGTGGATCAACTATGCTCCGGGCTGGACGTGAATAATGTGAATACGAATACGAATATTGCCCATATTCGCATGAATAAATATTCACTTTATTCATATTCGCAAAGGCGAATACGAATATAAGCTATATTCGTATTCGTTTATTCATTTCGGAGCTCTAGCCATAACTCGTATGTCTTAGACAGTGTGTTACCACATTCATCACAATGAGATAAACTTGTCTTGAGGTTGTGGAAGATGCGGCGACAGGATGTGGATGGTAATGTCGTGCGCATTTGCAGCCCGGCCGAGCAGGAAATGAGGCACGTCTCGGAGCATGGCCAGCGTGGCTCGAGGAGCATGCTCGCCGTCGCCACTCGCGACGAACAGGGGCGTCTCGAGGTAGACGTCATTGGTCATATTCTGTCGCGCTTGGGGAACCGGTTGATGCCAGAGGCCTTTTCGTGGTGCGAGTGAATGCAGGAACCCAAGATAGCTGTCGATGTCGAACGCGTGCCGGAGTGGTTGTTTTCGGGTTTCTTCGCGGTGGAAACAAACATGCTGGGGTTGGAGATGCTGGGGAGAAATGCCACAAAACGCAGACTGTAATTGCACAGGTCTGGGGAGGACATTACAACTGAGTTGATCAGGAGACAGCAAGTCAGAGGATGCGAGAACAGAAATGCTGTTGCGGTCATTGAAGATATCATTTAGGCCGTAGTGGTCGTCGTCAGCTACATATGCCATGTGCTGCCGACAAGTGCAGCCGCCAACGTCGCCCTGAAAAAAAGCAATAAGCTTGTTGACTGTATGCTGAAGATCAGAAGGAGGTTGTTCATCGTCTTCGTTATCGCTATGTGGTGCAGAACGCTCAGATGCAAAATCATAAACCGAATCTTCCTCGCCACTGTTAGTATGCTGGCCTGCAAAATCATCCTCCTCATTATGAACTCTCCTCGCGGTGCCAGGACCATTGCTACCATTATCAAAGCTCCCACCTCTTTCTCTGGGGATATACTGGGGCCGGAATATACTCTCATCGTCTCGGAAGTCATCATCATCGTTATCATCGTTATCATCATTATTATCATTATCAGCGAAAATTAAATCTTCACTTCCGCGATGCTGTGCGCCAATACTCTCACGGATAGACGATGAAAGAGGGCTAAAGGAAGGACGAAAGGGAGATCGCCGAGAAGATGACAGCGGGCTGAAAGATGGTCGGACAGGAGATAATCGAATTAGAGGAGGGGTGGTATTGACGGTTGATGCGATAAAAGGATTGCGAGGAGGATACTGTGGAAAGAAGCGAGAAAGCTGCGATTGACTCGATAGTAGTTGTGATGGGCGAGGAGAGGATTGGTCGGTAGACGCGATGGTGGAGGAATAACTAAAAGAAGGTTTGTTGTTGCTGGCTGTGATAAGTGTGTGAGGCTTATACAGTGTGCGATGCTCGTCCACCTCAGTGGCTCCCTGCTGAAGTTGCGCATCTTGCGCATCTCGAGCTATCGTAAGTCCAGAGACTCTCAGGCCCATCTGTGACAGTGTCACAGCCGCTTCTTCTTCGTCGGTCATCGCGAGGGAGATGATCTGCTCGCCCTGTTGAAGCTGCGCCGAAGTAGGTCGTGTAATCGAAGTGCGTTCATCTCTTTGTCGGTGGCGAAACCGTTGAACGCGCGCGGCAGCAAGAACACGCCGTCGATTGAGAGTAGGGTCATCTGTAGTCTGGGATAAGGGGCGTCCGCGCTTAGAAGGCATTGTTATAAATACACTATATTGCAGCTTAATTGAAGAGTGAACGAAACATGGTCGACTGCGAAACATTATTAACACTTCTACATTAAATTGTAACGCTCTTGGCGGTCTAACCCAAAATGTTCGAGAATTGTAACGCCCTTGGCATTTCTCGTGAAGCCACTCCTCGAGACTGTATCTTTAACACCACACCGAGAAAGCAGCACAACAGGTATGAGAATGAGAATAGTAGCATTCGATTGGCCGTCAGAGGCTCTATCGATTATACTATAGCATCAAATATATTTCTCGAGTGTAGTGTCTAACCCTAAGGGGGGAAACCGGGTATGGACGAGATCCCGAGGAGCGATATTGGCTCAATTTTCGGGACTTTTCCTGGTCATCCGCCATCTGCTCAGGCCTATGCACGTTTTCCACCTTTCTGGGGCCATCTCCAGGCCCTTGCGGTATATCTGAGGTAGGCGGCCGCAAGATGGCAGTCTGAGAAGAGTTGCTTGGCGTATCCATGTGCTCAGCTATGAAGTACTTCTCGATTTTCAGGGTGGCCACTTCGACAGCATGAGTTGCAAAGCGGCCAATTAGAAGCAGAATGGAGTAGAGAAGACATAGTAATTAGTTCTCAGAAGCTCACCCATGGTTGCAACGACTATTGCAGAACTCGAGGTTGTTCATTAGGTGCACAGCCACCAGAGCCAAGGAAGACGATAAGGAGCTTCAAGTCGAGGATATTTTGAATGTATGGCTGCCATGGTCTAGAATTCAATTCGTACACTTGATGATGCCATTGGCGTTGAAGAACGAGACCACCTTAGCACAGGGGGAAGACTTCGTATTCTGCCCTACTCATTTCCACCAGCAGCCCGATCGAGCTCGTTGCCAAGCACTGCCAAGAACAAGGCGCAGCTAAGAGAAGCGAGGAGCGAGGTTCCAGCGTACGTGAAGTATTTACCTTAGTAGAGGACGGGCGGAGCACCAGGAAAACCGGTTGTCGTAGGAAACATGGAGAAGTCATCAATGATGGACTGCCACATCATATTATCTCCAATGGAACTGCCCAACATATCTTGTTGTGATTGGTGATTGTAATTACCTGTTGCTGTGCCAGAAGTCGGCTCAGTCGTGCCGTACAGCTGGACCACAGGCTGAGCCTCATGTTCCGCACCACAGCTATGCTGGGTTGTTTTTTGAAAGCGCATAGATGCGAAGGCGGTCATGGTGTCCGCCATGGCGCACTTCATGGTATGGTACGGGGAAACGAGGGAAACTTCGATTTCCGCCTCTGCGGAGGAAGTGCTCTCACATCTTTGGTGCCATGTAGATAGACCCGATAGCCCACGAGAGAAGAACTGCCACACATCTCTTTGGTCCGGTTCAGCGTCGGGTGTGGTTGTGGACAATTCTGTCCCGAATTTAGTCTGTATGCGTTGGGTAAAATCCATGAAATCTGCTTCGCGGCTTGCGATTGCATGGTCCCATGCAGAAGTCGTTGGCATGCGAGAAACAATGGAGAGAACGACCAGTGCATACGGGAAGAGATTGAAGAAGCCTGAGGGTAGCTCTGTGATTATCTCCTTGGGAATTTCCAGGACATGGGTCAATAAATCGCGTGCGGAGGTCAAGAGATTCCACAGATTCGAGGTTTGCGAGGGTGTTGAAGTGTTGCTATGGTCGCGATAAAGTGCAATCTCATAGAGGGTGACTGGCAAAGCTTGTATTTCGGCGATCAAAGCGTCTACATGACTCCATTCAGCCAGGATTATGCTTGGAAGGGATATAGGCCTACTCACAGTTCGTATTGGCAGCTGAAAGAGCATGACTAGCTTCCAAATCAGCGATCTCTTTTTTGAAGCCGTTCAGAGACATCTGTAATACAGAGTCGTTGTGAGATCGGACCAGAGCTGGATCGCTGTATGAGAAGCGCTCGCCAATAGTTTTGACCAAGCATTTTGCACGGATGAAAGCGACCGCATCAACGTCTGTGGGATACTCTTGCTCAGCCTCAAGAATTTTGCAGCAGTTGTCAATCCATTTAGTGTGGGTCATAGCCAGTTCTTTCCGCATTACAGCCAGACTACTAGTCGTGAGCAACGCGGCAACGACGAGACGGCAATGGACTCACGAGGATGATATATAAAAGCAACCGAATAGGGCGCGAATCTCGGCAGTGCTTCTTCGGCACTGTGCTGGCAGTGTTTTTGGTTGGCCGAAGACGACAGTGTGGCAGCATATGGCACTGGCCACTCGCTGATCACGATGAGCAGGGCATCTGTCAAGCTCGAGGTCGATGACCAGGCCGTACGCAGTGAGGAAAAGCATGTACAATTGCTTCTTCGCGGGGCTGAAGTGGAAGTGACTCCAGCCGAGATGAACGAGCAAGCCTTGCAAAAGGTCAAAATCTTTATCGGCCCCTATCATAACTCGTTCGCACAAGATCTTCCGGCATTCGACCCCGAGCCTTCGTTGAAGTAGATGGTCACCTTCAATGCCTGCGGTCATGATAGCTAAGAAGAGAAACGGTGATTTTTCTCTCAATGTAGCTGCATCGATCTCCGGTGGGACCACCACGAATGGGAAGAGTTTGGTGCGGACGCATTTGTATTTTTCCAAGATTATGTCGGCAGCTGCGATGGTGAGAAGACCGGTGTTGATAATATCGAAGCGATGGCCTGGTTCGAATGTCGAGGACGCCACGCTTTTCATACTGTCATCATCTGTAGGAGCTGGAGTCTCAAGGTCAATACGCGGACCTGAAGTCGGGACACCCATGCCGCCCTTCTCAGGACCCATCATTGAAAGAAGGGTTTCGACCTTCTCTTCCAGTGCTTTGACGCGGGAAGATTGCTTCTCCTTTTTGCGTCTTGGTCTATCTTCCAAGATACATTCTCTTTTCAGCCTCCTGCATCGTTCACAGAATTTATCTGATCCATTGAACGAACACTTCGCTTTAGCTGCAGCACATCGAACGCAAGCTCGTTGTTTTAATTGTCCATTTCCGATGGCATTCATGTCTGATGTGCATGAAGATCCAATCCGAATACTCAGACAAATGTTACTCTCCGTTGAGGGCCGGAGAAGGAGTGGTACACTGGGTAGAATTGAGGCAAGTAGGGAAGCAGGGGCCGGGAATATCGAAGATTCAAACTCCGGTCGTGCATGAAATTTCCAGGCTGCAACTTTAATCTGGATTTGACAGACCAAGGAAGAGCGCAAATCCGAGCGAGTAACGCCGCTTCTGCTTGTCAGACTAAATCTAATTAATTGGAACGGGCCTTTTTCTGTCCGTTCGCGTCACTCCTGGTGTCGTTTCACTCTGTTCCTACACCGTCCCGTTTTCACTCTTTTGTCAATACGGGGCAGATTTTCGCAATCTAAAATTCCATCACTCTATCCAGATACAACAGTAGCTGTCCATTGGACTCGAGTGGGTCTTCTCGATATGCTCCTGTCTTGTTGCTGTAGCCTTGAACGGGAACGGCATCAAAGCTGTCCTGTCCGTGCTTCAGAATACTCTAACCACATGCCTTGTTTACAAATGCACCTGATCGATGACTCCCGACGACCTAGAGCTCGCAGGGCGGTATGCTCCTTTAAATGTGCTTCCTTTCCACCCTCTGCGTCTCACTCAAATTGTCCCTGTAGTTGAATCCCTTTCCGCCGGCGACAACCAGTTGACCGAACATGCTCGACCATAAAGATCCGCGGAGTGCCGTCAACGTGCCTTCTGGAGGCCCAGACAAAGACGAAGCAGACTTGGAGGGTCCAAAGGCGCCTCAAGATCCTGATGAAGTGCCCAACTATTATCTGACCGGCTCAAAATTATATCTCATCTTGGGTGGCATTGGCTTGACCGTCTACCTCTTCGCTCTTGATGTCTCTGTGATAGCTACAGTAAGTCATGGTTCTATCACAACTCTTCTCCTTGCAAGGCTGACTGACTCACCAGGCAATCCCTGCCATCACCACCCAATTCAATGCCACAACAGATATCGGTTGGTATGCTGCAGCTTACCCTCTCTGTCTCTGCTCGCTGCAGCCTATGTCCGGGAAGATTTACACCTACTTCTCGCTCAAATGGAGTTATTTCGTCTTCGTCGGCATTTTTCTGCTGGGATCCTTACTATGTGCTGTATCTCAAAACTCCAATATGTTCATCACCGCCCGAGCGATCACTGGAGTCGGAGCTTCTGGGATCTTCTCGGGAGCACTATCAATCCTCGCTGTAGTGACACCCCTATCCAAACGAGCTCTCTATACTGCATGTTTGACAGGTGTCTTCGGAATCGCCACTGTCACCGGACCAATCATAGGAGGAGCTCTGACGACGAAAGTCTCGTGGAGATGGTGCTTCTACATCAACCTGCCTGTCGGGGCCTTCACCTTGGTTGCCTTAGGTCTGTTCTTCAAACCTCCGATCCGAGAAACCGACAAAGGTACTTTGCGGGAGAAGATCGAGAAGATCGACGTAATCGGCTGCGCGCTCTTTATCCCTACGATTGTCATGGTTCTTCTGGCGCTGCAATGGGGTGGTCACCAGTATGCCTGGAAGTCGGCTACGGTTATTGGACTTTTTTGTGGAGCTGCCGTTCTGGCTGCCATCTTTCTTACATGGGAGTTCAAGAGAGGAGATGACGCTATGATCCCATTTTCTGTCGTCCTGCAAAGATCCATCCTTTTAAGTTGCCTCTTCAGCGCGTGCATGTTCGGCGCCTACATGATCAACATCTACTACATGCCAGAATGGTTTCAGGTGATCAAGGGGGCCTCTCCGCTTCATAGCGGTGTTATGACACTGCCTGCCGTTGGGTCTCAAGTTGCATCCGCGATCATATCAGGGTTGATCGGTAAGTGCCAAAAAGCCGGCCCTACCCGTGTTGCCTGAGGACACATTCACTAATTTACCGACCTACAGGAAGCCGCACAGGGTACTATAACCCATGGTTTTTCGTCGGCATTGGCTCTATGAGTATCGCGTCGGGCCTATACACCACCCTGACTACCTCAACCGGCCATGCGAAATGGATAACCTTCCTCGTCTTCCAAGGCCTAGGCGGCAGCTCTTTTCAGAGCCCTCTCCTAGCCGTACAAGCCACGCTAGCATCACGACCTCGCCTCATCCCCGTCGGTCTCGCGTGCAGCGCATTTTTCCAGTACTTCGGCGCCTCGGTCTTCCAGAGCATCGCACTGGCAATCTTTCAGAACCAACTTGTCAAGTCACTCAAATCGCGTGCCGGGCTTGACCAGGCGCAAGTGCAGTTGATTCTGGATGCTGGATCTGGAAACGCCAGGAAAGTCACGTTGGACTCGTTTCCGAATAAGCTGAGTTCAGTGCTGTGGGCGTACAATAAGGCCATAACGAATGTGTTCTACGCCTCTTTGGCTGCATGCATTCTCGGGTTCTTCATTGCCACTGGCGTCGAATGGAAGAACACGAAAGCAAAACCTGCATCTGCTCCCAAGAGCCAGACAGAAAGCGAGATCCCAGTCACAGATGAGGCGAGGGAAACGGATCTGATTACTCCTGCTCGAAGTGAGAAAGACGAGGAATCTCTCTCTTCCTGATTCGCTGTCGCTGGTGTCTTCGACATGCCGCGTTGCCACCATCGAAACAGATAATGCACGGAACTGAAGCTGTTTGTATCACTATCTTTGACTAGCTGGCGCTTTGGAAAATGGAAGGTTAGATGTTGGTGGAAGGAAAACGGAAATCAACGAGAGACGGAAGAAATAGACACGAGCGAACAGAATGCTACTCTACTCACAAAGTTTAAAACTACCACTAATAAAATCGGAAGTCTCCTATGCACCGTTTATTTAATCCAGGGATTGAGCAATTCCACAACCATTGCTGTAATATTACCAGGCTCTATCACGTATGACACCATGTGCCAGCCACGAGCGCAGAAATGGCTTTACCACTGCACCGACGCTTAGGGGTATTCCGTAACGCAATTTACTGTGCCCAACTCGCTCAGACGACCAACACTAGATAACGACAGACTCCAATACAGCACAGAACTAAGCTGAACAGGCAGACTAGAAGGGTGCTCAACCCTTAGCCCCCCACCCACCAATGTTTGTCCGAGGTAGAGACTCTCCATGTTCCCTCTCCTCGATCATTTCAAATTGTTATGCAACGCTCAGTTCTAGGCGATGTCTGGGGGCTAAATGGGATGTATTGACGAGTCTGACCTCCCTCTCTCGGAGGGAGATCCCTATCTATTATATAGCCAAAAGGAGCGTTCCAAGGGAGGGCTTTCTCGCCGTCGCACAGCGCGCCGCGTGGAGCCATCGGCCGTCGTCGGGCGGCGTTCTATCGGGCGACGTTCCTACACAGAGAGAACGCCTCCTTGTGAAGCCCGAGAATATAGTCATATATGACTAGAAACAGTGAATCGATGGTGTTGCAAAAGTTGTAAGGAACGTGAGTGCGTCGGCGTTCCGCCGGAGGCGCTAAGGCACTAGGCGTGAGTATTTGACTTGTAAAGACAGTGCTGAAAGCGCCCGCAACTCAGCCTAGTTCAACACAAATCCATCTTTTTCCAGGCAACCTCCTGAACCTCCTAGTCCTTACGGACCACACCTCACCGAATCGCCACCATCCGCGGGGTATTGTATACAGTCTTCTTATCACAATCCCCACCATCAGCAGAGACGGAAGGCTGTACGAGCGGCAGAAGCATGCGATTCCTGTCGACAACGAAAAACGAAATGCGATGAAAGCAGACCGCAATGTCATCATTGCAAGGTCAAAGGCTTGGAATGTACATATAGAGAGTTACCGTATCAAACAAAGTCGGAGAAGCAAATACTCGACGTCACTGGGAAATTGGAGACGATAAACAGGAGCATCGAAATGCTTATTCAGAAGTCGAAGACGCGAAGATTGATGCGTTATTGAAAGCTTTGCAGCAGAGGCCGCAATTTGAGATCGACACAGCGCCAAAAATAGATGGACACCGGGAAATTGCCTCACGACGGAATGACGGGTCAACCTTTGTCGCCAATCTTCAAGATGATACATTATGTGCCCATCACAGAGACGAGAACTCTGATGCGCAGTCCACGACGCGACCGCAAGTGCTACCGTCCTCTGTGCCGCCTCCCGCAGGCATCTTGCAGCAGTCTATTCCTATCACATTGTGTGTGTGCTCGACATTCGGATTGATGTTGCAGTTTTCTCCCTCGCAACGCCGTATGTACACGATTCTTTCTTGCGCTTGTGGGTCTCCCTTAGGGTTGAAGCGGCGACGAATGCCGGGGTAACCTGGTCCTGCGCCATCAACCCAGTACCTGGTACTGATCACCGCAAACGTCCCTCTCTCCACCAGGGTTTCACATTCCCCTGACTCTTCGTTCGTGTCGGCGCTCATCATCATGAACGCTTCTTCTGAGTAGTATTCGACATCGTCCGGAAAATCGTGCTCTCGTTCCAGGTCATAGTGTGTTCCCTGCCCTCCCACTCCATGTGTATGTGCGCCGTCGTGTGGGCACATGTCGTTCGTACACATATAAAGGGTTAACCTTGTCCATTCTTCCTGAGGATTTCGATACGGTGCGAACCGTTTGCTTCCATCTGGTTGTGTTGTCCAAAAGTGTGTAGAGTTGTTCTGTCTCAGTTGCTTCGAGCTTGGTGTAGTGGGCGGCCACGTCTAGGTCGATCTCGTGTGGTGTGAGTTCATCCTGCTCCTTGAACGGGAACAGATGTGGCCATCTTCCTATCGTATCGTGGGTATGCGTTTCCAACACGGGGCAACCAAAACATCTCCAGATGATTATCTTCCTTGGTTCAGTCTGGGTAACGCCTGGGTCCAGACGGAATCCGTTGTTGACGCGAGGCGTTCCCTGGATAGGTTCTTCGTAGTAGGACCAGTGTCTCGTAAGGATAGCCGCGTGACTGTAACCATGGAACAACACGGCGTCTTTTTCTGTTTCCTCCAGACACTGCTTCCTCATCTTTCCTTCGAATGGGAACGAATTCGTCCAACCCTAGTACGTCGTGCGAGTGGGGCCAGTCATGGCAAGCCCAGTCGTCGCACGCGATAATGGGAACCATTTCCGTTTTCTTTTCTGGGTCTCCAAAAGGGTTGAACCGCTTGTGATCTCCTTTGCAACCTGGCAAGCACCAGCTCTCACATGGCCGTGTTGCCCAGTACTGTGTTTCTAGTACCGCAATGTTGCAATGGTTCGATACTACTCGATATTTGTTCGCGTGTCGGTATGCAGCTGTCTCTCTGGGTGTGGCACTCGTACACCCTTCGTCGTTCTTGCCGCTGCTGGGCATGTCATCGTCCTCGTCTTCGTCTAGGAACACATGTAGCTGTGTGTTCCCCCAAATGTCGTGGGTATGTTTTCCTTCTCCTTCGTCTTCGCATTCATGGTCGTTGCAGATTCTCATTTGTACCGTACGGAGCTCCACTCTTTTTGCGCTGAACGGGCGAAACATGGGTTTCCCGTCAACCTGTATCCAATAGCTTGTTGTGGCCATAACCGCCTGGTGGTCCTTGTGCGTGATCCGGTAGAGTTCCGCGATGTCAAGGTCAAACTCGTCGACGAGGAGCTCGTCCTTGTCTTCGAACGGGAAGTCATAACGTCTCCCGCCCGAGTCGTGAGTATGTGTCTTGCTGTCCCAACACCCGAAACATCTCTCCAGAACCACAACCTTGGGTCCCTGTCGTGGAGCGTCCTTACAGTCAGGATCGAAGATCGTTCGACCCTCGCTGTCCTTGGACCAGTACTTCGTCTCAACTTCTGCAACTCCGTATCCGATGCGCATAATTCCTAGAAGGTACTTGTTTTCTCCCATGTGGTCGATGATATCTTCTTCATCCCAGTTGGCGATCTGTCTCTCACGTGGTTTCCGCGGACTTTTGTCTTTGTTCCTTGAAGGAAACCATCCTGAGTCCCCGGTGTTAGGGTGGTGGATGGCGCATCCGTCCTCGTAACGGAAACACCAAGACATGAACGAATGTTTATCTGTTGTCTCTTCGGCTTCTTTATCCTGCTCCCGTGAGCTAGGAAAGGTCCCTGCGATCGCGGCAACCTCTTCACCGTCCGTTCTTGGAGGTGGTCCCGGAGTCGCTCCCTCCGTCTGGGTCCCTTCGGGCATCCCCTTCTGTGCTTTTGAAACGTTGCTAGCTTGCTCGGGTTCTTCGTCGGAGGACTCAAGAGCTGCCTGGAATTCAGCTTTTCGGGTCTGAACCATGGCACTCATTTCTGCAACTCCCTCCCCGAAACGTTTCATCCATATCTTCGCAGGAGTGTCGGCCTTTTTTTCTCCTGCACCGGTTCTCGCTTGCATCATGTGCAGTCCCAAGGGCTTTGTACCACATTCTTTAGCCCGATGTCCGGATTTACCACAGTTGTAGCACAGGTTTTCTTTCTTTCGTCGCTCTCGCTCCTTGTTGGATGGCCCCTTGCGCTGGAACTTGCCCTTCGGTCGTGAGGACCGGCCTCGCTCCATTGCGTCAAGGTCCATCGGATCCCCGTAAGATCGACTGCTGCCCTTGTTTCCGTTGAATGGGCCGCCAGTTCTTCCTCGGTATCCTTTCTTTTCGAGCCTTCGTTCGTAGAGCCAGTTGTCGATCTCAATGAGACCATTGTAGTATGCGGCGGCGTACGCGTTGTCTTCCCAGTCCAATTTTGCTTCCAGCCTCTTGAAGAGAGCGTAGTAGTTGGCAGCAGACCCGGTCTGCTTGAGGTGGTGAATACGTTGTGACGCGGCCTGTTCTTCCCCTGGAGTCCCGAAGATTTGCTTCAACTTCTGCACGAAGACGTTGAAACTGGCGAAGATTTCCTTGGTTTCGTCATCCTTCAGGGCCTCCGGTGAGGTCAAATGGTCCATCACGATTGGTTCGAACCAATGGAACGCCGGCCCCTTCATGTTGAGAGCTGCATAAAGGACTCTGTCTTCAGTAGGCTCCGGGATTTCCACACCGTCCGTGGCATCAGCTTTCTCTGTCCACTTACCATCGTCGCTCAGACGGAGTTCGGGAAGTTCCTCGCCATCCCATGTCCTTACTTCGTCAATTTCATCGTCAGGAACATCGTGCTCTTCAGCTGTCCGACATGCGACTAGAAGCAAATCAGTGATATATGTATCGCTCATCTGGCCAAACTCACTCTCAAATGCTTGGTCAGCACCTTTAGCCTTATTGAAATCGGGATGGAGTCGAGACCCCTGACGGCGGAATAAATTCACCATATTTTCCTTGTCTTTTCGAACATTCCCCGTCGGTTTGAATCCAAACATCTTTTGGTAATCCTGCGGATCGCAGTTCTCCACATGTTGCACAAGTGAGATTTGTTCTTCCGTCGGCACAAGAGCGGTCTCGTCCGCAGCTTGGTGATTCTGTGTTCCATTATCGACAGGAGCCCCAGATGGGGCAGCCAAGAGAACTTCATGTGGAGTTTCAATGATTGCAGATAATGTGCCAACACGGGTTGACTCGCGCTCTTCGCGCTCTTCGCGCTCTTTCTCCGCCATGATTCTACCAGTTTCAGGCGCCGGAGTGCCATCAGGTGTGGGAAGACCATGTTGTTGTCGCGAACGACGGCTTCGGCGTTCAGACTTTCTCGTAGTACCCTTCTCATTTTCTGTGGCCATTTTGTCAATATTGGGCTCAAGTTGTTCCTCAAAGATAGATAGGAGATATGACGATGATAGTGATGATGATGATGATGATGATGAAGAAGATCGTGTCTCTCACACTCGTGAAGAGTCCAACTTATATAGCTGGGAATAGTCGCTACAACATTCCTGATACTGTCGCTCGTCGACGTCGACGAAGTCTCCACCCTAAGGCTGTTCTGGTCACGACATCTTCAACGGTCGGTTTCGAAACCGGCACTCTGCGTAACCGTGATCCTGAGCTGATAAGTTTCTCAGCGACTAGTCGTACTTCACGACTCCAGAATGGGAGTTTGGAGAACGAGAGGACTTTTTGGCACGAGCCTGTTGAGTCAGGCGTGAAAGGTACAGTACTTGGACTGATTGTTTGTGATGTAGACGAAGAGAACGACCTGGTCAATACTATAAATACACCGTAGAGTGGGTCTTCTCAAGGGCCAAGACCTCGTCCCTGGGCGCTCGGACCAAGTTCCGAGCTGTCGTTCCAGGATACGCTCGGACGGGAGGCTTCGGGGAGGAGGGGGGTTTGTTTGTGCTCTGAGGCTGGCTGGACCAGAATACGGTATCTTTTGGTGTGAGAGTCAAGTCGCTTCCTGAAAGGGCAGTGTGTCCCGCTCACTGTCCGCCTAGCTGGCGGGTTGGCAAAATCTCGTCCAGAGCAACTAAATTTGGAGCAGGTCTCGTTTCCAGGTCCGAGACCTTTCATGACATTCCCAAATATACGTGCATGCCACCCGCTTCGGACAAAGATTGGGTTACGTCCGCCGTGCCGGTTTCTGGTTTCAACTCAATCTCGAGCTGATCACGCTAGGCGCAAAATGTGGTACGAAGTACTGGAAATTCGCGACGTCAGCGCAGTTCACAGAATTCTTTTCTCAAGCAAGAAAAATGCGATTCCGGGACAACACCCAGCACAGAGGAGTTACTCCTGGTCGCCATGATGAGCATGAGATGCCCGAAATTAGACTCCGTTGTCGAAAAGGGGGTGCTACCGACATTGCGAACACTGAGAAACGGCAGTAAGATGGCATTGACGCACGGATGGGAGGCTACATAAAGAGTCACAGTGTCTCCCATTGATGTCGAAAGTCAAGCATTCACTCCCACATTCTACTCGTTGACGAGCTACAGTTCTACACAGACCTTTCAACCCAGAAGTCCCCTTGATCATAAGCCTTCTTTGCGATCAGAAAGATGGCCGCACCCACTGACAACACTCAAGGCCTGGTCACAGGTGTTTCCCAAGCGCCGAAATCTCGCCATCGACATGGTCTGCCCACTCCCGAAGGCACGCTTGCACCAGAAGATGCAAGGATTACGGCCGATAAGGAACGGATGGCGCGAGAGGCAAGGCAGCAAGGTGCCATGCCCTCTATTATCGAGGTTGCAGATCGGGAAGAAGCCCAGTCCAAACCCGCATTCGACATCGGAGCGCAGGACGACCGGCAGTCTCAAGGCGGTGGCGACAGCGGTAGTGAGAGTGACGAGAGCGATGATGGAAGGCCGTCCTTAGCGACGGACGCACAGGCTGAAGCGGTCCATTCCGTTCTTGCTTGCTCTCGCAGAGATTATCGCAAGATATTGAAACTAGAAGCGGTGGCGGAAGATGATCGACAAGAAAAAGAGAATATCGTGAATTCGTTCACCCGCTTAGGATGTCTGACCCACCCGGACTTCAACCCAACAAAAGGGGCTGACGAGGCTTTCAAAAGTAAGTGTTGTATATGGTTATAAGCCCAAGGGACTCGCCGACTAATCCGTCCGTCTCAGGAGTTCTCAAGGCAGCCAAGAAGCTAGGCATCGACCAAGAAGAGATCAATGAGGTGAAATTCTGGGACGGCGATGAATTGGCGGAGCGAGAGTTGACCGCCGACGGTAGATGGGTGGATAAAGGCGACTCAATGCAAGGTGTTGAAGATTCGTCTCCTCTAGGACCAACAGAGGTCCATCAACAAATTTGGGGTGGCGTCAAGCCTGTCCTGGGTCGACTGATGAACAACCCTCATGATGAGGAAGCTGTTGCAACATTGAAGGAAGCAAACACTAAGATCGTGGAAGAGAACATCGCCAACAAGGTCCCAGAGGCCATGCTTAACAGCTATACCATTGCGATCGACACCTTCAAGGCAATTTTCGCCGAGGCGGCGCCCATTCTGGCCCGACTACGGGAGAATCTCGCTGACAGTGAGGCTCGGGCAAAATTCGAAGCCCTTAATGATCGTTTAAGAGCTTTTAATCGGCTGCACCAGTATCCTGAGGGGTGGATCATGGATCCTCCGGCCGCAAATGCCTCGAAGCCGGCCATTGAAGGAACTGGGCTACAGAGGGCGTCGGTCACTGCCGTTACAACGTCTTCGTCATCCAGCGACATCGTTTCTACATCGACAACGTCTTCCTCGGCTCAAGACGGCCCCATAACCTTTCGACGATCGACCCGTAAAGAAGGATATGTCAAGGAACACGGGGTGGAAAAAAAGATTGAAGGCGCTCAGAAAGTTGGTGCTGGTCATCAGCTGTTGATTAGTCGTCCCGGAAACCACAACCTTAAAATTTACGAATTGGTCGCGGCGTCCACATTCGGTAAAGGGTTTGGTGCGGCGTACCTCAATCAACCCGATGCCAAATTGATCGGCAAGGGTAAGAAAGAGGACCTCAAGGATATGAAAATCAAGGATATGGTGATCGCCGGCGTCGCTAGCACTCGAAGAGACCCTTCCAGAGCCTCCAACGGTGGAAGGGTTCGAGAACCCAATACCATCGTCCTCGTCGGTTTCGGCGAGCAGCCCGGCCAGTTCACCTGGTACGATCGGTCCGTTTTAGGTGCCTAATTTGGTCCGAACCGCGTTGATGAGGACATCCGTGACTTCAAGCTGGATGCTGGACAAGAAGAGCCCGTTGCTCCCATGATACGAGGCTCGCACCCACCTCATAATTTGCACAGGGGAAATGGAAAGGGACCGGAGCCATCTACATCAACCGGGGCATCCTTTGAGAGTCACGCTGGAACTGCGAATGACGAAGTGACAAGCCTCATGGCCAAGTTTCAAGAATTGGCATCGCGATTTGAAGAGATGTCGCGCCGATCGCACCGCCATTGAATGGAGCAATGATTGATTCGTCAAAGGCAACGCTTTGATTTCCTGTGCTGGAATGGCTGGTGAGGATCTTGCTGAGGTGATATCGTTTCAAGTTAGGAGGTTGTTTCATTCGGCGCAAAGGGTTCTCATTTTGGGCTTGCTTCACAGTGTTCACATCTGCCAGCTGGTCTGGGGATGGCTCAAATTTTGGGGTTGGGAATTGTTATATATCTGCGGTCGTTTGAGTAGTTTGCACTTCCTTTCCGCATACATAGAAAACATGCTTCTCTTACAAGACATCAATTTCACTGATTCTCTTCATGGGCGTAGCTCGTGATGTGCACGGCAAAGCTGGATCATGTCGAGAAGCCCGTCAACGTTCTACTGCGATGATCTTGGGGACCGAATCCCATCGATGATGTTGAGCAACCGGATTTATAACATCATTGCAGAATGTGTATAGCAGTGGCTGTCGGAATCTCGGTAACCCAGTGTCGACTCCCAGTGCAGGTGCTGTGCATACAGTGCATTAAGAGCAATGACAACTGCGGCCGAACAAGCATGACTTTGACCAGTAAGCATTCTGTCGTGCGATATAGTGGCTACTAGCCCATCAAGTAAACAGACTGGCCTAACCAGTCATAGCAATAGGTTAGCTATCGTGAGGCATTCTGCCGTGCGATATTTGGTGGCGAGGCAGCAAGGTTAGATATTACTCTGGCAAGGTAATGTGAAATGTAGATAAGGAAGGTTAGACGAGATCTCAACTGCGCCCGTTGTACACTGTTTCCCGCCTTTCAAACTCACGAACATGCGGATTCTGCCAAAGAATGGCTCCCACTGCGTTTATACCTCTCTCGCATGTGTTCTCTGTCGGAAAAGGGTCCGTCACTGCATGGAAGCAGGTCTCGGCATGCGAACAAGTCGGATGTACTCTCAAGAGGCTGCTGTCACAAGCACTGTCGTGGTTGGCTAAGAGGACCAGCGAACTGTCCTACTGGCTTTGACAGGCATGCGGCGTATCTACTTGAAATCGTCCTGGGAGCTCTGAAAATTATGGCCATTTGAGTGGGCGCAGTTCTCATAACCTCTTTGATTCTCTTAATCGCCACCAGGACCGTTCTCTGGATCGCCAGAGCACGCAGAAAACGAAGAAGAGAGCCTCCTTGGGGCACACCCGCGCCACGAGGACTTCCTAGTGAAACACCGCATCTGCACGCATTTTCGGCGGCGTCATTTAACTCGGGCGGTTTCGGAAGCTTCAGGACATCGTCCTCATCGAATTACGGCACTTGCTTCGAGTCTACCAACTGGACTCTTCCACCGCAAGGCACCAACACCTACCAGCAATTCACTACTCCCACGAAAGCGTCCTCTTTGACTTTTCAGAAGTGGTATCATCACACGCAAATGTGTCTAGCAGATAAATCCGGACTACAAGAATTCCCATACCCCCCTGTTGCTTCATGTAAACAATGTGAAGGCCAACAAAGTGAAGGCCAGCCTTGTCACCACGCAATTACTGAATTTTTCCGACAATCACCCAAGTATTCTCGCAAATGGCTTCGAAGAGAACGAATGCGCTGGCATCCCGACAAATTTGGTCAGTGCTCCGATATGATACGGACGTCGGCGGAGGATATGTTCAAGATCGTACAAGAACTATACGCATATCATCCTCCAACTTCAGATCAAACCTGAGAGAAAGGGAGCGGGCTGCTGTTGAGAAACTCATATATCTCCCTCGAAAGAAGGAAGATGAATTTTACAGTACATCGATCCGGTAACGCTTCTGTTTGTTTTGGTCGCCATTCCGATTCTATTCTGGTGCCTACAAATGTACATTGTGTGGGACTGTCACTGTCTGGCGGCCCCAAGTCAGCCAAGATTCACAACCATCATAACCTGCTCATAGATCTTCTCCCTAGCTCCGAAAGTCTGAGCTAACCGAGCGCTACGTCGGCAACCCCAACGCTGATGGGTTTTTAACGATGCTTCAAGCCGATCTTTATCCTCGATGTCACTTCCAGGGGTCCAGAAAGCTTTGAACCTTGCTCGATAGAGGATCACCGAAGAGTCCTCACGCTTGTCGGTGATGCTATGTATCTGGGAATAGATACTGCTGCAGCATTCTGCTTGACATCGACGCGCATACGGATCCAAATCTGCCGGATCGATCCTATACTTCTGAAGTAAATTTTCCGACCTCGCCTCAGCAGCTAACATCTTCAAATCTTTCGAAGATATCCATCGGTCAGGAGTTGTAAGTAGATACTCGAATTCGCCATGTATGTAACAATATCTCTGCTCATAGGCTGCATCATAGTCCCAGAGTCCGTCGGGAGGAAGGCCGATATCTTCCGGAATACCCCTGAAAGACACCCTGGCATAACCGTCGCCGGATCGAGAAGAGAGTCATTTTCAGTGGTCAATATCGCATCCTCGAACGACGTCACATGGGCAAGCGGACGGACCGCCGCCGACGGCAGGCTTCCCAAATTAGGAGCAGGGAGACTCGGCTTGCCGTTGGACATGGGTGAGACATGAATGTCGCCGTCGTCTTCTTTTGGTCAGTCATTGTTCAGTGGCGCGAGGAAGAAGAAATACACACCTGCCCCAACACTGGGGCTGAGCCGCTCCGGAAAGATGTCTCCAGCACTTGACTCTGGGAAGGTGGAGACAAAAATTTCTTTGAGCCCATCGGAGGGATCTGGGTTACGCTTGCTGATCGAACGCCGCGGAATTGTCGACGGGCGGTGGAAGGACCTGCGGCCAGGACGAGACCATGGATTAACTGGCGTGACGGTAACGCGTCTCGAGCGAAGAACCCGTGCACTGTTCATCTGAGCATGTCGAGTAATGGCCATGATGAGCGGCACAGGTGGCAAAGTGGCAGGCAGTGTTTTACGAGGAGAAGAAAGAACCGAAGGTAGAACCGAAGTTTCTAGGGAAGAACGAGCAGAAGAGCCGATCAGGGGGAGACGCCTGGATTTATACCCGTCGACACTCTGCCAAGGGCTTCGCCTCCTGCTCCTCTTCAGCAGGGTTGAGGAGTGTGGGTAACATCCTGCAACGTTTGCATCCTGCACCGGTTAGGTCGAGAACCGAACCGCCGTGCTAATGCTATAGGCTTGACAGGGTAAAAATTGACGGCCACTCAGGTTCGATGGGTGGGTGGTGTGATAGCCCTGAAAGTGCTCTATTGGCCTCCTGAATTGAAGAGCGTCTTTATGATCCTCTCGCCTCGGAATGGCAAGAGAGAACTCAAGCATGTCTGGCTGGCGACCGCCACGTTCCACGCATGCACCCTGGTCACAATCCAATCTGATGACCTGACCCGACAGCTTCAGCTGGCTAAGAGACAAAGCCCCAAACTATCTCTTTGTAAAGGACTATTGTTCGGCTGTGGTCTTTTCAAATTCGACAATACGACCTGTTCTCTTCATTTCTGCCAGTTGATAAGGATGACTCAGGCCGTGCAGAGGCTGTAGATTCAGTCGAGTATATGGCTCCTTGGTAGCGGATGCTGCTGACAGCAGCACTCGTCATGAGGGATGCAGGGCCACCGATCCGCCAGGCACGAAGAGAATTAGGAGTCTACTAACCAGGTGAACCTAGCGGACAGGTAACTGGGGGCGACCGAGCTTGCGTGGCAGCTGTGAAACCAACTAGCTCCTAAGGTATAAAGGGACGGTCTCCCCACGGCCCTGATCTTCGCCCTCTTTCTTCTTTACCAATCCCTATCATTTCACCAGTGTCTTCGGACACGACCAAAATGCAACCAACCCTCAACCTCGATCATTTTCTCACTGACGATGACTGTGACATTGGGGACGAATACGCATCGGTTGTGGACGCTGCTCTTGATATGAGACGCAAATTCTCTTCGGTATTGAGGCAGGCGCGGCAGTTGAAGACGACATTGCAAGCCAAACAAGCTGATCTCGAACATGAACGACAGCGACTGGAGCTTCGAACAATTGCCGAGACTAGTCGAAACAAGCTCAGGCAACAAAGCCGCAGACTGCGACAGTGTAAAGATGACAATCGATCGTTACGCCTCCAGAATCAAGAGCTGGCCAGTCGTCTGGAAGTTGCGCGAAAGGAATTGGAGAAGGTCGATCATCTTCGGTGCACACTCTGTACGGTGGCATTCAAGGATGCCATGCTTCCCTGTGGTCATACAGCCTGTAGGGTATGCTTGGATTTGTGGATAGGCCAAGGCAACGACTGTCCGTGGTGCCGGCGAAGCTTTGAAGTAGGTGATATCCGAGATCTCTACCTTGCGGATCCTAGTGCGACTGCGGATGCCCTCGAGGAGGATGGTGATGTGACAGATGTTATCTCACTGGCTAGCGATAGTGAGTAGAAGGCCCTCATCCTCGAGAGCCACAATACAGTGTCAAACCCAGGAGGGTAGCAGACGAAGGTGATAGGAAGTCAACGGATGTTTCCCTTATCACTCTGGCAATGAAGCACGGCACTACACTGGAATCGAGACAATAAGGCCTTTAATATATCGGTGATAGCCTCAAGGTGGTAGGTAGCAGGAATGTTTGACTGTGCGCGATAATACACAGGGAGAATTTGCGGAGAGAGGGAGTCCATTGGTCGCAAACAAAGTCGATATCGCGCTTTTTAGATCCTGTCCCAAATCAAAAGGACGACGAGACCAAAGGGTATATATTCGGGCTCCTCGGTAAGTGACGGGGTCCATCCTATCCGATCCTGCTATAAGACACCTGCTTCTTCTCGTCTCTGGCTGGGGTTTGTTATAAAAGCATCTGGCACCCTCACGATCACCATCAGGCAAGTCGGGTTCTCGGACAGAGAAGAGCCCCTGGAAGGGCTCAACTCCGCCCGTGCGACCTTGCGATTGGGGCAGATTGCAGGCCTTCGAGCGCGCGGCATCGCATATCATGCTGGGCTACCATGGTTGGCTGTCAACGGTACCAGTCCAGGGGGACAAGCTCTTTGCTGAAAGGCATAACGGGCACTCCTTTTTCGAGGGAAGACGGCTTGTGTAATAGAGCGTCACACCACTCGCCCACTTGCATCGATCTACTCTGCCGAGACAATGGCAGGACTCTCGGATGAAGAATTAGCCAGGATCGCGGGTGAGACGCCTCAAAGGTTGGCGAAGAGAAAACAACTGGAAGATTTGCAACCGAACTTGGAGTCGAGTCGAGTCTCGTGGATCTTCGCCGCATGTCTACGATTCCCTGATTATGGAATAGGACTGTTGGGTTTGCTCAGCCAGCTGGGGGAGTGTGAAAGTACTGGATCTCGTCCTTTTGTCTCCGTTCAAAGGCCCTAAGACAACGATTGACCTACAGAACTGTCCCGTAACCCGGGCCCTGACAGGATTGAAGGAGAAAAATTCTACTTGCCGAGCAGTCCGCCTTGGTTGTGTGCTGAACTGTTGTATTCAACAACCCTCAGGAGCAAGGTTTGCTACTCTCAATCTCCCAGTAAAGTGCCACCAGCGCCAATGCGAAGCATCCAATCGTCCATGCCACACTCCATTCTCCAAAAATGAACTTGGCCAAAATCACCATTAATACAACCAACACTGCAGCCAGTGCGAAGGCCCCAGGTTGCGATGTTAAATAATCGTCCAACCAGAGCGCCTCAAAATCGAGTTCACCTAGACGAGGGCAGTGCCATTCATCAAGTTTGGATAGTATGTCTCTATAGGCCCCGGTCAGTCTCTTTGCATCGTATCAGGTACCCGCTTACTTATGACTCTTTATCAGATTCCTGTCCTCAAATAAATAATTTCCCCTGGCAAGGTTTGGATCGGAAAACACAAACGGTAAAAATCTCAGCATGTTATGACCCGGAGGTGCCTCCGTGCAGAGAACATCTCGCGCTCGGGGCACGCGATCAACTCCTCTTGCCTGTTAACACAGTAGAAGCTGCAATCAGTGGTGTCTATGGACGAATCGTACTTGCAGGCGGGCTCTTGGGGCTGATAGTCGGCAATTGTAGTCTCATGGTGCAGCTTCTCTTTGCTCAACTCTGCCGAAGAATGCGTTCCGATGAAACGGCCTGCAGATCTTGCACAGTACTTTCTGGGACAAGAGGGTCCCGCGATTGAAATCTATCAAAGTCAGCCTGTGGCAGTTTAACATATCACTGGGAGTGTTTCCGTATACCCGTACGAATTGAATTTGTCGAACGTTTAGGAAAGGGATATATCGTCTCCACTTTCCACGATTTCTGTACCATTCTTGACGAATCAACTTCCAGATAGTAACATCGTCAGCAGAGTTGGGGATCCTAACGGCCACTATCTCGCAGCGGCTGCTTGGCCCCCAGCAAAGGAAGATATGAGAACTATCAGCGTTGGACTCGCTCACGACTGGAGCAATTAGAGTCATCAGCTCTTTTTTGCGATTTGAATGCCGTGTTTGTAGGCTGCACTCTGTTCGAATGCGACGTGTCCCCACATGAGGCTCTGCCTGAGGCATTCGGCCTCCGTCTGTTGTGCTTAGAGCAGTTGACTGTCTGAAAAATGCCGGATCACCTGCTGCTGGAACCACTTTCGCACGGTAGCGATGATCTTGCCTCAGGCGCCTAGCAGGTAGATCTGTGATAAAATGTGGTAAAATGGGAGTTGGGTTAGGCCGGGGCAAGACGATCCCAAGGAGTCTTATTTTGTCAGTTATGTTTCGTGCTTCGTATAGCGTCCGGCATAAACGACCCTGACGAGGCTCTCCTGGGGTGCATTCGACAAGAGGATCGGGGTTCGCAGAATGCGACGTGCTGCCGTGGTTCGATAGTCGCAGAAATGCTTTTGTTGGCGTTTGAGGGTCGCAACACTTTCTGATTTCTAGTGTACTCATCACCGTAACAATACCCCGGCAATATTGTAATGGTAGCGGAGGCGCTGCTCTCTATATTATATGCAGTACCCGTAAGCGATGTTCTAACCGGTGAGTTGCTGTAAGCGACTAACTGGCCGCGTATGCCTTGGGGAATTGTCCTCGGTCCAGTGAGAAGTCAGTATTGGTGCCGCAAGCTCTGGTTAGCTCCACGCTCATGGTAAAAGTGTGCTTCTTGCTGCATCTATCTGGGCTATTTATGTACACGTTTAACCTTAGGGGCCATAGTCCCCTCTCCGCGCCTGCTCTGTGCTCTACAGCATATGTCGATATTCCATGTCTTCAGGCAGTAAGGCTGACTTCTCCGTAAAGAGCCTCTCGGCGCCGATGTTTCCGAGGCTCCGTCCAACGCGTGAGGTTGACTGCAAGGCTCATCCAGGGTGTTGCGGCCAGTGTTACGAAGCGTGTGTCCTCAGAGGTCAAAGCTCCTGGCGCAAGAATGTGCACCTTGAAAAAAGTTGTGCCAGGTGCGAATACTGGCAATCACGCAATGGCAAAGGTAGGGAGTAAATCAAAGATCCATCGTTCAGCGAAGTGACTTCTTTCGGCCTCTTCCATTCTGTTGCTTCGGGTTTGATACTACTTTCTTTCCCTCGCGACGCTTGCGTTTCCTTTCGGCAACTTTGGTTCTGCGATGGTCTTCTGGAATTTTGACGCGAAGCGTAATCTTGGGCGGACCCACTCGCAGTCGTATCCGAGTGGTCCTGCCGGCAGGAAGACCAACCTCTGTGGCGCAAGGGGCCGTGTCGAGAGACGTAGCTGAAACAGCGGACAGTCTCTCTAAGCCTGCGGGTGGGATCGACTCACAAGACGAATCACGCGCATTTCCGGTAAGGGTCGCTCCACTCCACTCGCTGACGCTATCGCCTGATGGCAGGGTCGGTGAAGGTGAAGGAGAGCGAAGGTATTGGTCGAATAGAGTATCCTCAATATAGTCATCGTCGACTTTCTCTGCCTCAGACGAGTGGTTCTGCTCGCACTTAGAAGGATAGTGATATGGAGACGGACCACGGCCAAGATCCGTGTAGAAGTCTCCAGCTTCGAGGAGGGCGAGTGCAGAACTATCCGACTGATCCGAGGTTGTCTCAGAATCACTGTTGGATGAGCAAGACGAATCATCGTCGAGCATGACGACCTGAGGGCATACGGTCGTAGTCGAAGAACTGTGCCGCCTCCGTTTTGGGAGGCGGCGAAGATGATTCTGTAGAGCCTCGTTCATAGACTCAGCTGACGCTGGTGGTTGCCAAGCCAGGCCTCCATAGTCATCCTTCGACGATCGCTTCCGACAAACTGGTCCTAGATTCTGTTCATTGTTATTGAACCCTGCCTCGTCGGCGGGGGTGGATTGAGGCCTGGACTTTGTCAATGCGGCAGGGCGCGACCGGCTGAAGTTGTGTACATCCATAAGATGGAATTGGAACGTGCCGGGGTCTTTGTGGAGGGTATTGTCGCATAGTGGATGGAGACACTTGAGCGGCCACTGAGAGCCGTCAAGGTGCTCGACCTGGACGTGAATCCACAACTTGTGGTCTCGCGACCATGGTTTGAGTCGTTCGTGAGGAGGCAACGATGCATCTCCGATACAGAAAGGACAGTAGCCCGCGAAGACCATTGTATGATAGTGGATGACGGAGCCACAACGCTTAGTGGTCAAGGCGTCCAGATGTGCTCGGCAGTGCGGCTCCCATTTCCCTCCGACGACCCAATCGAAACACCAATAACAATAATGGATGTCTTTTGTGAGTCGCCCCAGACTGCTTGCCATCTCCCGACGGACACAGTTTTGAATGTGCTGATTGCGTTGAGACTTCGGCAGACTGGTAAATGTCAGCTCCGATCAGGCAAAGGAGATTGAGGCCTTACCCATGCATGCGACATTGGCAATTTTCGACGGGACAGGCATCGTTACTAGGACGCGACCCCGGAAGATAGAAGACATCTGAACTCCGGAGGCAGAGTGTATGGAGATCGTCCAGGGCAGCCCACATCTCGTCTGACGTCAAGAGGCGAGTCGTTGTCATTTTGTCAGCAAGTCGGCCCCGTTCGGGGAATAATTTGTAGATACTTTGCGCGAGCTCCGTCTTGGAATTGTCTTGAGCCGTCTCTTTCCCTCGTGTCAAGATCTTCCAATCTCGGCGCTGCTGGACCCAGGTCTCTTGATACAGGCGCAGTGCATCTCGCTTCAACTTCCTCGAGTAGGCGGTGAGTTGGCGTTGGGCGGTACTAAAGGCCTGGTTGTCGCCGTCCGATCCTCTGAGCCTCTGTACCTCGGCTTCTAGGCTGCAGAGATGTCCATCGTGTTTCAATTCTTCCTCGAGATGTGCAGGGAGCTCAGTGGGTAAACCGTCCTCGTGGAACTTTTCGATGCTCTGAAAATATTCGATATGGCGCTCGTCAGACTCTTCGTTTCGGAAAGCCGCTTGGCCGTCGACCGAGGAGCAGTTGGCCAAATAGCTTTGGCCAAAAACACGAAGGTCGGCTTGCGTCAAGTGCTGTGAGCGTTCGACGGCGGTATTTCGCCCTAACGTGCACAATTAGCGTGAAGGGCAGGGAACGTCAACCGCGTGGATATGGTGTAGGAGCTACAAGGTGTCTTCGGGAATGCTGAGTGAGCGGGAGACTTACGGTCAGCACCTTTTCCCAACATCCGCCTAATGGCGTGGATGGACAAGCTCCAGAAGTAGCCGGCGTTGACCAGTGTACTCTTGAAAATCGCGAGAAATGCGGTTTTCGGCATCGGCTCGGTGGTCACACCGCCAGTCCTCGTGCATTTGCGCAAGATTGGCTGGTCCAACGCTTCATCCTTGAATCGGAGAATCACTTCATCCTTGCCGGCCGGAATGACCTGCTGACGTACGTCGGCGAGAGTGTCGTACCCAAATAGGGCACCATCGGCGATTGCCAATTGGAGTAGGAGACCTGCGTCGTTGTAGAATAGCCTTCTGTGGTCCTTGGCCGCCGCTCCGAAGCTGGAACACATCAATGTCAACAAATGAAGGAACAGCGGAGCGGGAAGAGAGTTCTGGAAGGGCCAAAGGCACTTACGTCACGTTTTCAGGATCGCGGTTGTTTTTCACGTAGCGCTGATCGACCTTGTATACTAGTCTCCAGTCCCGACCGTCTTCTGTGCCATCGACACGTTGCAGAATCAGGTCGACATCCTTGGAAAGTTAGTTCCTGCTAGGCATGGTGGTGGAGACAGGTCTACCTTGTACCGCAGGCCTCCCTTGAAGAAAGCGTCGATTCGGGCCCCCGTCCAACAGTATAAATGTATCAGGAAGGTGGTCTGAACTCGGTACCGTTCATGGATGAAGATGAGGTCGTCGTAGGTCCACAGCGCGACGAAGACACGAGTGAGGTCGCGGACCGTAAAGTTATGTTTCGGTCGGTGCTTATTGACGACAATGCCTTCCAGTACCAGGGACCGCCGAATCCACTGAGAGAGGGTCAGCCAAATGAGTTGAAAATTGTAGACCCAAAGACGAGTAAGCGACAGTCGGACGTGACGTAGTAGACCTCACTCCTATCCTCTGCCTTGGTGTCGGACCCGGCAGTACGAGCGAAGCCTGCGAAGAACCACTCGGCGACGGTACATATGACGTCGGCGGTCGGTCTCGGCTTTGCCGCGCTTCTCTCCAGCTGCGGATGGCTTGTGGCAATGTAAAACCGGAGAAAGTCTTTCACAGTGACCAAGTCGGGTGCAGGGACTCCCTCGGCCAGACAACACGCGCGGACTGTGGCTTCGTCCGGAGGAGCCAGCCCTTGTCGGTCATAATCTTCTCGCAGGATTTTGTGACACCACCTGAAAATGGCGTGTCAGAATCATCTCATAGTGTGGAACGAAAACACAGAGAAAGAGAGACGGGAGGGAGGACACAGAACCGTTCTGGGCTTCTTGCAGAAGATACCGATGTAATGTTCGGTCCTGGTCCTTCTCCGTCTTAGAAACGTATTTCTCTGCATCACGGACCTTGTCTGTCTCGTCGTGTGCTCCTCTCTTGTAGCCGTTGGCTTCAGCACGAGCCCACAGCTCGTCCGTCGTGGCTTTCTGCCTGCCCATGGTGGCTTAAAAGGAGGAGAAGTTCGGCGTTCGTCGGTCGTGAAGCAACAGTGAACGGAGCCAGGAGGGACGGCCGCTGGAGGCTGCAGGAGTCGAAAGAGAACATTGTGGCCTGGACGCCCACAGGCGAGAGGGACGCCATTTTGTACCCAGAGTCGGCGGGTCGACGAGAGAGGAGGGATGCAGCAAGACCTCAGTCAAGACCCCTTCGTGGGGATCCAACAATGGAGTCCCCCTGGTTGTCGCCAATTATAGAACCCATCTTGGGACGGGACGTACGGTGCCAGGGGGGACTGCAGCAGGTATCAGAACGGCGCTGCGACGGTGCGTGCGAGCGTGAGTGGGAGGGTGAGAAGAAAGTGAGAAGAGGGTGAGTCGCGAGCACCTGGTCTTAAAAGCGGCACGGTCTGCGTGAGCGCGCCGAGAGCTCAGAGCAGTTCGACAATCGCTTGAGCTGCCAATCACGAAAGGGGACCAATGGAAATTCAAGCAAGTTTGTGACGGACTTTGGTCCTCGGATAGCCGCGTAGCCCGACGTGGACCTCTCTGATTAGCCTGCTGCTTATGCCAATAGAAAAAAGGAAGTTTCTCTTTTGCCTGTGCCTCCCAGTTAGAAGGAGAACGCAGCCACAGCTTTTATGAGATGCGCCTGGAAGAGCCAGGGTCGGTATATGATCTCGCCCGCTCCCAGGGGAAACCCTCTTGCATGTTCTCACTAGATAACCCGCACTCCATATCAAGATGGCGGATCCTTTGAGTATTACTGCCTCGTTGCTGGCTGTAGTCACAGCTGCCGTGCAGTCAACCCAATCGCTTTACGAAACCGTCACACGCTTCAAAGAGCGCGACAAAACTTTGCGAAGACTCCAAGATGAGCTTAGGGATCTCAACATTATTCTGGACTCATTGGCGCCAGTGGTCAATGCAGAGCAGTCACTGCTCACGCTTCTCCAAGGTCCTGTCGAACGATGCAGCCAAGTATGCAGCGAATTCGAGCAGTCGATGAAAGTTTTCGGCGGGAAATCAAAGATGGGCTTACGAGACTGGACGAAGATGGAATTCATGAGAGGAAGTATAAACGAATTTATAGACACTGTTGCAGGTTACAAGTCGACGATCACGGTCGCTCTAGGCGTCATCACCATGCTAGTAACATCTCCTCGTCTCCTCTGAATTTTTCTGACATAATTTCAGGACGCATACCTCCAAAATCTCCCGCCAGGTCCTCCAAGAATACAACGAGATGGTGCAGGATACTACATATAATCTCGAGCTTCATCTACGGCGAATTGACGAGAAGATAACGAGTTTGACCTTCGAGAATGCGACTACATCAGGCATCAGTATAGACTTGAAAGACGAAAGAGAAGTGACCAAGCAATGCCTGCGTATTTGTGAGGATGCAAAGTGTTACATTGAATCACTGTCCGAGCGAGAACCGGCTCTGATACCAGAGACGCCTCAAAATGCTGCTGAAGAAAATTCATTCGAGGCGCAATCGCGAACACGTAAAGCTCTGGAAGACAATCGAGACAGCTTCTCAAAGACTATCGACTATCTTCGGAAACGTCTGGATCTTCTAATCCAGGATGACGGCCCTGAAAAGGAACGGGAGAGATCCCAATTGCAGGCAGATATCACTATTTCAAAGCAATGCCTAGAAGTTTGCAAGATGGCGGATGAGATTTCACGGCAAAAGGTGTACAAAATTGGCGAAGTGATTGCCGAAGGTGACAGCGATCAAGTAGTGGTGACTACTTTAGCTGATTTATTCGACATCAAGAAAGCGCTGTCTAAGGATGGTTCGGCGCAGTTGGTTGGCTCAATGACGGCAGAGAATCTCCAATATCTCACCGAAAAGCGGTACAACAGTCGTTTCGGAGCCTCCCCCGGTCACCTCGACCCTGCTGGAGCAGGCTTTACCAAGTCGCCTAGATCCTTCGAGATTCAGAAGAGTAAGCCTGTTATTCCGCCTGAAACTGGAAATCACGAGCAGGGTCCTGGGCCGAAAACGAGGTCAGATAGGCCGTCACCGAACGAGATGAGAAAACGTCTCATGGACGGGACTTAGGACAAGGAGAAAAGCCCGACAACGAAACGGTGACGGAAGAACAGTATTTCTCCTTGCATCATCGTATACAGGTTTGCTCACAGAAGACTGCTACCAGTATCCACGGCGCTCACGGCTCAGTTGCAGATGATGGTCCGCTCATCGAATCAGCGGTTCCTTACATTGCGGGTTTCCCCATTCTCTGAAAGTCCATCAAGATCGAACGTTGAGACATTCTTTTGGGCCCTAATAAGTACAGTACCAGAGGCCAGCTGAAGAGTATATAGCTTGGGGCGTGGCCGCAGATGCGAGTAACAAGAAGGTTAGCCAGGCCGTCTGGCTGACCACGTGGATGAGCATAGAAAACACATGATTCAGAATCTAATTGCTCGACATCACCGGCAAGAGAGCTACCCTCCTATTGCTTCCACTTGAAGAAAATATCCAGCGCATTCAACTGCACAAGGCTTTTTGCTGCGCTCTCCAAGCTGGCCCAAAATCTACAGCAAAGAAAAAGCAGTATTATGTACGGTGCGAAGCCGGGAAAAAGGTCTCACTGGGGCTTGTGGAGGATTTGGGAAAGTCTCTAGCTACGCTGCAGACCCGTTATCAGATGCCATCTGATTTCCTGATCCCACGTCCCAACCACCTATGCCGTGGGAGTTCCTGAACTCGTGCCAGATCCTGGTCAGCAGTTCATGTGAGTTGCTATCTGTGTAATCGTCCAATTTCAAGATCGAAACGGGCCCTACCATATTGCGCTCGTAAAGGATCTTGATCGAGCTGGCGGTCGCCGTTGCAATCAAGTAGTTCCTTGCACGCCTCTTCAATGTCCAGCCCGAAAGGCCGATCACGGGCTTTTCCACGTTCCAGTCGTTGTACATGATCGCATCCATGGACTCAAGCCCACTCTCCTCCATAAGCAAGCCCATCCACGGGTCCACCGCCGCCGACAGCGCAAATGCGTCTCTAATCTCCACCATAGTACCGTTGTGAATCAGCTCCACGAACTCATCCAAGTTCTGGTACATAAACCTCATCTTACACAATTTATCATCCTGGATAACACACAAAGGGATGAGCCACGACTTGTCCTCCGGGAGACGCTCAATCGTCGGTGGTGGTATATGGGTGATCAAGTCCCTGAACTCGATGTTGCTTAGCCCCAACTCGCTGCATCTCTGCCAGGCACTCCTCATTTCCTTGACGGGACAACGAGGAATGCTCTGTAAACATAGGGTCCCAAAGATAGATAGCCTCCTGCTCTTTCCTAAGGAGGCCACTTTTGTGTATTATCGACGTTCCGTAGCATCCAGTGGAGCTTGTAAAGTAGACAACCGTGTAGGGATGAAGGGTTGGAGACTCAATAACAGTAGTGTTCGTCTCTTGGAAGATATCTTCGTTCTATCCTCTAGACGGCGACACCTCTAAGGTTAAGAAAGCGCGGTCGTCGTCGTCGGTCGGCGCGCTGTTAGTCCCCAGATAGAATGTCGAAGCTAAGAAGACCGTTTGAAAGAGATTTTAAAAGGGTTGGTAGTACCGAGACGTTGAGCCGAGAGCATATTTTCGAGTAATGTCTCAGCGGGAGCCATCCTTAATAGCCAAACACAGATTTCCGACATACATCTGCCTGACTGTCCAAGGGGGGTTTAAGCACAAAGGAAAGTGAATCTGGGCTTTCATTGCCAATGCTCCCACGATTCTGTCTGGACCGCCGGCGGAAGGTTATTGCCACAGCTACAGCATTTTCGAGACTTTAAAGTTGGATAGCCGGTGCCAGCAAAACCCAGTTAGCAAAGCGATTGAATAAGAGTCTTGAACCCATGGAGCGAGTCAGTGATTATACGCGTCATGCCAATCTGAGTTCAGCCAATCTCATCTGGCGAACCAGGAGCAGCACCCTTCAGAAGAAAAGCGCGGGAGGGTAAGCATTTTCAAAGCATAGTGTCGACGATGTCCGACTAGCTCGTAGAACAACAAGACAAAACGTCATGACTGCGATCAGTTCCCTGATGCTCTCAGTGGCCGCCGAAAAGATGGTCCTGTGCCTCTTGTGTCTGGGGACAAATTGTAGAGACAGGGCTGAGGACAGGTCGTGTCCTGGGGAAGGTGCTGCCGAGAGTGCCTATTCAAGCGCCTCAGTGAAAGAATTCTATTTAACGAGGGTAGAATGACTTTGGGAACCCAACCGGGACTTTTAGGCATTTGACGGGAAGTGCAGTTACGGGAACGCGTAGAGCACAAAAGGCAATTTGCGCTAGTGTCTCTGTAGTTAGCCGACATCTTGCCATTGCCTAATTCTCGAGGGAAGATGAAGATGATGGGATGCCGTCGAGCCACGCTGCGGGGCCTTAGGTGGCGTCGCTGCTTGTGGCTTAGCTGGCATTTTCTGCTGACGTCTTCATCACTAACGCCGCGTTCGGGGAAATGTCACGCCGAATGTTTGGCGGGTTTGTTACTCGGGCTGCTATGGTCTGAACTTTTAAGCGCCCAGACTTGGTGACATGTGACATCGCATGAAGAGCGGACGATAGGGCCACAAAGTTTCTTGGCAATCTACCAAACCAGCTGCTACGGATCACATCGGCGCTTGATGTAGCGCATCTCAATCCAAACCGCACAGGCGGCTCAGCGATTGTTAGTAAGGTCATCTCTACTGATAGTCGTACTGCTGCATAGCTGCCACTTAATGCGCAGCTGGGACAGACTATGACGGAAAACCAAGGGCTAGTCATAGCTGGCCGTGCGGTGACAACTACAGTACCATGGATCCCTACACGATATAGAGGACCGATATTGAGTGCAGAAAGCCTTCCACCCTATCATATACAAGCATACTCATGAGGAAATGCCGCCACTGTGCAAAAGCACAGATAGCTTGAATGCCTCACCTGTTGGGACGCTGGCCATGGTTGTTGCCTACGTACCCTGGACCACATGATGAGTTCGACGAACGTCCACTCACTCGCTCTAAGCGCTCTTGCAGTCGGGCGCCTCGATAGCGAAACGATTTGTGGCTTATCACGATTTACTTAGCAACATCCTAGGAATATTTCAGTCCCTTGGACCCTGCGAAGTGTGTTTCAGAGAAGCTGACGCTGTCCAACACTACTGCCGGATGTTATCTTCCCTGACACCATTTGCTTTAAGTCGGCGCTTGCCCATAAGCGGAGCTTTGATCGAAGGAAGACATATAGAGACTGGGCGATTAGCCGCCAACTCGGTTTCACCCAACTTCGAACCACCCTCTGCCACCCAAAATATGCAACAGAATGCACCTTACCAACAAGTGCGAAGTTCGAGAAGCAGACTATAAAGAACCCCTTCGCTCTGCTGTTCTACCTGCATGGACTTTTCGCATTCTTTCAATTTCGACTCCAAGAACCTCGCAATGGCAGAGGTCGTCGGCGCTATCTCCGGAGTATCCGCACTTGTCACTGGCACCTTGCAAGGGAGTATAATACTTCTGAACACGATTAAAAGCTACAAAGGTCATCAGACACTTGTACACGAATTCCTGGATGGTCTTGCTGCTTTCATCCAAGTTCTAAACAAGCTCGATGAAACAATCAAATCTGTCCGCGAGGTGGACTTCTCTATGCTCGAAATTCCTCTACGACAGTGTGACCACACATGCAAAGCGTTGTACGAGGAGCTGCTCAAATGCGTATCGCGATCGAACGATACCCATACGAGCTTACGAGACTGGCTTAGGCTAAAGTACATGGGGGAGGACATCGATGGTATCCGAAGGTTGTTGGCTGAGCACAAAATGACCATTCAAATTGCACTCGCAGATGTAAATCTGTAAGTTCCTGTTCTGTGATCTTATCTCCAAACTAGGCACGATGCTAAAATCCTCTTTTAGTCGCGAATCCTCTGCGACAGTCGAAAAGATCCAGATGTATACTGATCTTTTGAATACAACAAAGGCCAATCTTCAAGACCGTCTCGAGAGGATTGACGAGAAAATGGATAGCATAATAGTTCAAAACAAGGGAGGTTCCGACAAAGATGCATTTGAGGTCAAATTGATTGAGGAGGAGCGGTTGAGTACTGAGAAATGTCTTCAAATTTGTACCCAGCTATCCGACCACATCGGCCAGATCCAAATTGCGGCAAAGCTCAGCAGCAGCAAAACTGGGCCACTAGGTTCGAGTTCTCTACCTCAAAAAGTGGTGGACGAAGGCTTCCAAGGTTGCGTCGATAGCCTTTCTCGAGCGACCTCAAAGTTGGAAGAGCATGAGAGGCAGCTTTTTGATCGGTTGATGGAAACATCGAAGACAGCGCTTTTCTCGGAGGATGACCGTACAGATATTGCACGGTTGCGAGACGAATGGCTTACAACTCGGCACAACCTGAATATCTGGTCTGCAGCACAGGGTCACCTAAGGGATAAGGTGAGCGTTATCGAGAATTACGCCAAAGGCGACGCCATCCAAATCATGGCTTCAGCTGGGGGGAAGACCATTCATGGCAAAAATCAAGGGTTTGGTGCAAAGACGGGGCAAGTGGCCGGTTATATTAATGATGACACAATTCAGCAGGCTCTGCGCATGATGGGGGGCATTTTTGGCCAAACTACCAAGCCGGACGATACGCATGTGGCGAGTGAGACTTCACCCGTTGCTGTTAACGGCACGGTCGAGGCAACCGGCTCAAGCTTCAAAGGCAAAGGCTTCCAACTTGCATCGAAACCCTCCTTCGGCAGCAGACAGTGCTGAGAAGCCCTGCGAAGGATGAACCTCGCAATTGATCCACGTTTACAAATCGATGTGTTTAAAGCAAGACAGGAGATATGATGGTGAGGGAGATCATGCCTGGGAACTGTCACTACAACACACCTCTTACTATTGTACCACATTCCTGATACTGTCGCTCGTCGACGTCGACGAGCTCTCCACCCTAAGGCTGTTCTGGTCACGGCATCTTCAACGGTCGGTTTTAAAACTGACACTCTGCGTAACCGTGATCCTGAGCTGATAAGTGTCTCGGCGACTAGTCGTACTTCACGACTCCAGAATGAGAGTTTGGAGAACGAGAGAACTTTTCGGCACGAGCCTGTTGAGTCAGGCTTGAAAGGTACAGTACTTGGACTGATCGTATGTGATGTAGACGAGAGAACGACCTGGTCAATACTATAAATACACCCTAGAGTGGGTCTTCTCAGAGGGCCAAGGCCCCGTCCCGGAGCGCTCGGACCAACTTCCAAGCTGCCGTTCCAGGATACGCTCGGACGGGAGGCTTTGGGGAGGAGGAGGGTTTGTTTGTGCACTGAGGCCGGCTGGACCAGAATACCGTGGTGGAGTTACGACAGCTTGTGGTCTGAGAGTCAAGTCCCTTCCTGAGGTTCTGGGGCTGTAAGCGCTATGCATCAGACGTGTCTGAGGAAGAAGAGAGGCTGCGCCAGCGTCAATTGCTGTCGAAGATGTGCACTGCACGGTGTTTGATCTATTGTCGGCGGCCCCCGCGTAACCTTGTATGATGCTCATGCGTAGGGCTTCGGCCGGGGGTGTTATTGTAGGTATCGTCTCGGCAACTTTGGCTAGAAGTAATGGCAAATAACGAGATGAGCCACCGCGAAGTTGCGAAATCAGCTTCAGATATCGGTCGAGCAATTCGGTTGACGGTCTTGAACCATCGGCTGAAGGGCCTAGAGGAATGCAAGAGGTAACGTCCGTCAGAGTACAAGCAACGTCGAAAAGTTTCTTAATAAGTCCAACACCATGCACTTCCATGGACTCCGTGGATAAGATCTCAATATCATGAATTAAGTCGCTAGCCACGTCGATCGGGTATTTAAACGTCATTGACAGATTGTTGGAGGTGGAGGATAGGGCACCGCTCGCAATGGAGAGCTGCCATACCATGATCCTCAGCCAATGAAGTGTGATGCGCACCGCTGCCGCTTGATCTTCTGTGGTTTTTAGTTCTGGCGGCAGTGCGTCTGTGAGTTGTTGCTGCAGTTCTAATAGCCATACCGCTGAGGTCCTTTTTTTGGAGTTGTTCCATAGCGCCATAAACTCGTCATCAATGCACCGAAATAGGCTGATCAAGTAGAGAAATCCGTTCACGATCTCTACTTCTCGGATGTCTTGGGCGGCCGGAAGTTCGATGGATGGCTGAAGTGTCAATGGCCGATGACGCTCGAGAGAGTATGCCCTCTCAGTGACCAGGAGTAGCCAATACATCCTTCTCTTGTACATATTCTCGACATCGTCGCCAGTCGTGTAGGACGCCTCGTGATGCATTCCCATGATCTGAGCCAGGGTTGCTGCCTCACGCAAATGGAACCAGCACAAGTTCTGCTTTTCGAGGGTGAAATAGCAGCTGAACAAGAAAAATGAGATGTGAATCGAATTCAACGTAGGCGCCTCAATATAGTCAATGTTCTTCCGCATCCGAGCAATCTCATCGAGAATCATTTTGGCATATCCGTGCCTATGCTCCGGGGGCTCACCCTCATAGTGGCTCCCTGGTCCAACCACAAGGCTCACACCAGGTTGGACCATGACAAAAGCGCACAATGAGGCCGTCAAGCAATAAACCTCGAGGTCGCTCCCAATACGAGAGCTTATCATCTCACAAAGCGAGCGTTGGTTCAAAATCCACGCTGTCGTAGGCATATTACTGAAGTAGAATTCGATGCAGGTGTCAATTGTCCTCTTAGACAGCAACGCCGTATTATGCGGGTAGGAAGGGGACTGCAGACTGTTGGACTTGAACTTGAATGATTTTTCGGCATGGTTGACTGTAGTGTCGGAGGGACTTGCTTGTTGCTGCGTCGCGCGGATCTCAGGGATGACATTGGCGCGAAGACCTTTAGGCCCTTTCTTCTGTGGCACTGCGAGATAAGTACACTGCAAGTTCATCTGACCACAGTTTGTACATGGCTGATCCCTAGAACATTTCACTTTGCGGCGGCGGCAAGCATCGCATGCCTTTTTTGCGGGCGGCGTGGTGGACATCTTGTGTTAAGCTGCCCTGAATTTTCGGCGGATTCTCCTGACGCCCTGATTTTGAACGGACAGTAGCAAGAGAAGAGCTCATCCCTGCTCCACCGCTGAGGACTGGGTTAGTCTCAATATGCTTATCGCGCCCGCGAATGATTCAAACATGGCTCATGCTGGGAGAGACAGGGTACAAAAAGGTTGCATGGGGTATGTGGAAGCCTTTATCCGCACAAGCTGCGCCATGCAAGCGACGCCTGTGAGGTTATTTCCCCAAGTGGTGTTGGTCTGGAGCCGTCAATCTTTGCTCAAGACGCGGCTGGAGACTAAATAAGAATTTCCAAATCTTGCCTAAGTTATTAGGTGTCCAGGCCTCGGGTCCTAGAAACAGAATGGTCCTGAACACACATGGGCACACTGCCAACCAGACGCCCTCGCCAGAACCGAGGCCAGCAGCAGGTGGCCCCACAGACAACGATGCTGTTGACCAAAGCGAAACACACCATCAACCAAGCTCTTCAGAAAGACTGGGAAGTTCTCTGGACACATGGCCGACACGGACGAACCCTCCACCGCCTGGGGACGAAGCCAGACAAGAAAACCCTTCAACTGCACCAAAATCTTCCGCGACCTATCTCCTCCGTCATTACGCAGATGAGGACCGACAAGATCGGATTAGCGGCCTATCTCCACAGCATTAACAAGGCAGAAACGAGCCGATGCAGCTGCAACCATGGAGAACAGACGGTGGAACACGTGCTACTGAAATGTAGGCAGTGGGTGACAGAACGAGAAGAAATGTGGGCTGGCGGAAGACGAGTTCTTAGCCTAAAGGGAGTGCTCAATGACCCCAAGATGGTGGTGAGAGCGGCGAAGATGATGCTGAAGACTGGTCTCTTGGGGCAATTTCAACACATTAACGCCGAATCGCTGGAGGCCAGTTCTCAGCGCCAAGCCAAGGATTCGTGAACCCTCAGCACAGGACCACAGAGCAACGCATTGAGTAAGAATAGATCACAGTAGACCAGACAGATGTGGGTTTCTGTCATGTAGCCATATATGGAACACAGCCTGCGAAAGTGTAAGTAGAACCAGTAACTTGAGAGTGACAGCTCTGAAGAGAAACTGAAGAAAGAGGGGGCATGGGGAAAAACACCACCCACAGCTCAGATCGAATTTTTGAAACGCGTAATTTTTTGTAATTTTCCGAGTAGACCGACGTTATCTTAGGCCATTATCACGATTGACGCGTCAAAAACGCGTGTTTTCGTGGTAATGGCACCTAGATGGCCACAGGTAAACAACGGCCCCGAACACATCAACGAGCATGCCACCTACCTTAGAGAAGTATGCAACCAACTGCAGGCTGCGGATAAAGGCAGAACCAATCAGATACCATGGAACATAGTGCAACCATACATTGCGTCGACCATTGCGCTCATCGGCAAAGTGCTGCAGCAGCCGTCGATGGGTGAACTGCTCCAGCAAATCCAAGACGCGGCAAAGGGCATCCAGACCATCCAAAGGGACATCGTGGTCGTCAAAAGTTCCGTAGGAGGGGGTACGACGTCACTCAATGCAACAAACTTCAGTGGCCACAGGACGGCGGCGAGAACATGGGCCCAAGTTGCGACACAGGCCAAAGGGTCTGTGCTCCCACCACCCCCAACCCAACCAGGCACACATCCCTCCAAGACCTCGCCAACAGTCACAGCATACAAGGACCGAGTGGTTACAGTCAAGCTGAAGGATCACGGCATCGCCCAGCGCTATCGCAGTCACTCGGCGGCGTGGGCCAGACAGCAAGTCCAAACCAGCATATCCAGCAACTTGGCGACGAGTGCGATCAAGATCGTCGCAGCACACCAACTCAAGAGCGGTGACATACAGATATTCGCAGGCACCACCGCCGAAGCGATACAACTCAGACAGAACAAGGGATGGCTGAGAGGTCTTGGAGAATGTGCGGAACTTATTGTGCCTACCTACGGAGTCATCGTCCATGGTGTCCCTACCAAATCCATCAATGTCAAAGATCAGAAAGCGACCATTCAACAAATGCTTGCAGACAACTACACAGTAATCCCTGACGCCGAGATCTCGTACGTGGGATGGTTGACCAAAGAGGCCACCCTCAAACGCGCATCGTCAATTGTGGTCGAGTTTGAGGACCCGGAAATGGCCAACGCCATCATCTACGCCGGAATGGTATGGGATGGCCAAATCCACCAATGTCAACTTTACGACCGCGCCTGCAGGGTGAAACAATGCTTTCGGTGCTACCATTACGGTCACATCGGCACTCAATGTAGCGCATCCCAAACATGCGGCTATTGTGCTGAGCAACACGAGACAAAGCATTGCAGGCAGAAGGGGATGGAAGGGTTCATCCCTCGATGCGCAGTGTGCCAAAATGCCCACACGGCATGGAGCAATGCCTGCCCCGCCAGGAAGAAAGAGATGGGTCGGGTTGAGCAAGCAAAGCAGACTCGGAGCATTTACTGGCACGTTCCGTCAAAAGGCACCAGCACACGACCAAGGACCCAGGAGAACAGCGCACACGACAACATGCAACCCCCAGCAACATCCAGTTCAACTCGAATAACGGACCGGAGGGTGGAAGAGACAACACAGGTCATAGAATCAGAATCCGAGGGCGGTGCACAACTCGAGCGACAGCTAGACCTGCCCGTCAACCAGCCAGCTGCACAACTGATGGAAGAGCCAATACCTCTCACCCTGCAGGAGCCGATTAGCGACAGAACGATAGAAGTGACCGTGCCGCAGCAACCCACCACCCGATCGAATGAGGAAAACTGGGCAACACCAGCGACGCACGGGGCACCCACACTATATCAGCAGAACCCAACTGCAGCCACACACCGGAGAGGAGCGGAAGAGTTTTTTATACCTGATCCAACACCGAACCAATCTCAACCGTATCTCCACGCAGCAAACGAAATCGGCGACACGTTTGGCTTCCAGGATGCCGACGACTGGCTAGACAATATGATCGATATTGACGCCGAATGGCTACCGCGCATCGCAGAAGACGAAAGATCCATACCGACGTCGAAGGCAACTGAACCCCGTGCAACGCAATGGGCGGTTTACAAAGGTTGCAAGTGCCCGCAACACCAGAACATTTACTCTACCTGGCCACTACAAGACGCGGAGCTGAAGATCGCCAAGTGTATGAAAGTATGCGTGTACTGTGGCGACGATTTCGTGAACGCGGCGGAGCTACGAAAACATTTAAAACGATTGAAGTACGCAAAAAGGAATATAACCGTATACCTAGAAACGAGAGGGAAATGGGGCAACACCACCCCGGGATGGATCACGAAGCCTCATGGAGGTAGCCGGGTTCACCGACGAGGTTCTGAGCCACCTGCCCCTACGCCAACCGCCCGAATCACTCGGAGCCAATCTTTGACACACAGAACCAACGCTGGAACACCTCCATGGTAGGGCACTCGGAACTGCGCATCTTACAGTACAACGTCTGGAAGTCCAAGGACGTCGTCCTGGCAAGCCTATTTCAGGACCGATGGATCCGTGAATACGACGTCCTCGCTATTCAAGAGCCGTGGCGCAATCCGTTCATCCCGACGTCCTACCATCCTCTCAAGACCGACTTCCAACTAGCATACCTCGAACATGAGGCAACGAGAGTATGCTTCTACATCAATAAACGCATCGATCCAAGCACATGGAACACCACACATCTCACGAAAGACATCACGATGCTAGAAATCAGCAATCCCACTCTCGGCAACAAGCTCCGTATCATTAACGTTTACAACGAGGTAGGAACTAGCACGCTGGCCGACCTCAGAAACGCGGTCCATGGCACCAACCCCGAGGATGAACTCCTCATTCTCGGAGACTTCAACCTGCACCATCCACTCTGGTCGACGACACGCTGTCATCCCCGTCGCGGAATGACAATCGCTCAGCCTTTGATCACCATGATCGAAGATTTTCATCTACAACTACTCACAGTGCCCGGGACGACGACGCACCGATGGAGAGACGGAGAGTCGACCATCGACTTGACTTTCGGTTCAGAGGGAGTGGCATCGCGCATGATCTACTGCAGAGTCGACCCCAGTCGCGACTGCGACTCGGATCACCTCCCAATCTCGATGGCGATTGCGTGGGACTGGCATCCTGCCGCCCCATCCAGAAAGCGCCAGTGGGCCAAAACGGATGTGTCGTCACTCCAGAACACAGTTAAAGAGAAACTCCCAAGAGTACCCGACCCCGTGGAGCTTAGTGGGAAAGACAGCATCGACAGATATACGCACTCCATTATTGATGCCCTCCAGGCGGGTATCGATGCGTCAACACCGTGGTCTAATCCGTCATTACGCTCCCTACCAGGGTTCGACCAGGAATGTAAAGACATCTGTGCCGAAGTTCAACGATTACGTCGACGGTGGCAACGGACCAGAGATGAAGACGACTATGAACAATATCGAGTGGCACGCAACTCGAAAGGCCGACATGTGCAAAAGGCACTTCGCAACACTCATCGACAGAGAGTAGAGGAGGCATCAGCCTCAGACTCAGGCCTCTGGAAGTTGGTTAAGTGGGCCAAGAACCGACACACCATCACGCCCACCTGCACACCTACACTAAAGAAACCAGGTGGAGGGTCTGCTAACCAGGCCGAAGAGAAGGCCGAGACTCTACGACAATCCTTCTTTCCACCACCGCGAAATGCCGACCTGTCAGACATTGATGAGTATGCATACCCTCCACCGATTGAATGCCCCGTGATCGCACCGACCGAGATCGAGAGAGCAGTCCGCAGAGCAGCTCCGAACAAGGCGCCGGGCACCGACAACATCCCCAACGGCATCCTACACCAGACGATAGGAACTCTCCTCCCCCACCTCCATAAACTCTTTAATGCCTGTCTCTCGCAGGGGTATTGTCCTTCACACTTCAGAGAGAGCATCACGGTCGTTCTGCGCAAACCAGGCAAGGATGACTATACCCAGCCGAAGTCATACAGGCCCATAGCCCTCCTCAATACCCTGGGCAAGGTGCTAGAAGCCATCGTCGCGAACCGACTGACATATCTAGCTGACAGCTACGGCCTCCTCCCCAGTCGACATACAGGAGGCCGAAAGCTAGCATCCACCGACCACGCCATACATCTGCTCCTCCAACGCATACACAAAGCGTGGGCAGACGGAGAAGTCGCGTCATTACTACTCCTAGATGTATCAGGTGCCTTCGACAATGTCTCCCGCCCGCGACTATTGCACAACCTCCGAGCGCGACGAGTATGTCCGACACTCGTGCGATGGATAGACTCCTTTTTAGGAGATCGATCGACTACTATCAAGCTCCAGGAGTACACTGCGCCCTCGACCCCCATCCAAACTGGAATACCCCAAGGATCGCCGCTGTCACCGATGCTCTATCTATTCTACAACCCCGACCTCATCGAGGCATGCAAGACTGACAACACGGAGGCGACGGGATATATCGACGATGTCTCTATCCTCGCAGTGGGCCCGACAGTACAGCATAATTGCAAGACCCTCAAGACGGTCCATCGGAAAGCGGAGAGGTGGGCACAACAGCATGGATCCGAGTTCGCACCAGCCAAGTATGGATTGGTCCACTTCACGAGAGACCCTCGGATCAACACTACCCGGCCCCTCCGTCTGCCGCATGCCACCATCGAGGCCTCGCCGTCATGTCGATACCTGGGGGTCGAAATGGACTCGCGACTGCGATGGGACCACCATCGAGAGAAGGTCGAGGCCAAAGCCACTCAACGACTGTCAGCTTTGTCGACCCTCGCATCTTCGACGTGGGGCACCGGATTGATCAACTTGAGACAAGTGTACCGTGCGATGATTGTCCCACAGATGCTCTATGGGTGTTCCGCGTGGCACATTTCTGGGGGAAAGACGAGAGGCCGTGGCAGTGCCATGCTGAACGCGATCACTCGCATCCAGCGACGTGCGGCGCAAATCATCACTGGGGCCTTTCGAACGACAGCAGGAGCCGCGGTCGACGTTGAAGCACACCTACTCCCAGTGCCACAGCAACTTGAACAGACGGCTCTGGAAGCGACCATGCGAATCCGCACCACGCCACTCCACGCAGAGATGATCTGGGTGGGAAGCAACAGCAAAACTCAGAGTCCGCTGCACCGATTCTCCAACATTTTGAAGGATAAGTACAGCATTGAGCTCGATCGACTGGAAAAGCGCCAACCACACATTGTACCTCCATGGTGGACTCCACCATTCACCAGAATCGCCGAATCCCCAGAAGCCGCCATCCGGGAGCACGATGCCACAGAGTCGGTGGCACTGCGCGTGTATACCGATGGCAGTGGCATCAACGGCCACGTCGGTGCTGCCGCGGTGGCACCGACGCTACGGACGCCGGGCATCCAAGCAACCAGGACAGCATACATGGGCACAGCAACCTCCTCCACGGTGTATGCAGCAGAGTTGAAAGGGATTGAGCTGGCGATACAGATCGCACTGGATGTTGACGCGACGACAAACACCCCCGGCAGATGCTTCATCTTCACCGACAACCAGGCCGCCATTCAAGCCATGGCCAACCCCAAATCCCCCTCGGGACAGTACATCTTGGTCGAGGCGATCCGAGCGCTTGACCAGCTCCGAGACCGAGGCTGGGAAGTTCAGCTTCGCTGGATCCCCGCGCACGTCGGGGTTCTAGGCAACGAAGCGGCCGATCGCGCGGCCAAGGAGGCTGCTGGCTACAGCCCAATCACTCCAGCGAACGTAGAACCACCTCCAGAACCAGAAACACTCCATATCCTCACAGCCACCACGAAATCCACCATCCGACAGGCCATGAAGGTCGAATGGGACCAGAATTGGGAAACGGCCAAACAAGGTCGAGACCTTTTCCGGCTTGGGGTCAAGCCTGGAAAAGGGACCCTCACCACGCACAAGGGCACCCACCGAGCGATCAGTTCAGTCATCACCCAAATGCGCAATGGGAAGATCGGCCTGCTGGCCTATCTTCATTCGATTAACAAGGCCGACACCGACCAGTGCCCCTGCGGCCACGGACGACAAACCGTACGACACGTTCTCCTCGAATGTCGAAACTGGTGCGAGGAACGACACCGGATGTGGGCAGGCAAAACTCCATGCGTGGACATCAAGCGTATTCTCTGTAGCTCGTCCATGGCCGTTCAATCAGCAAAGATGATGATCAGAACGGGACTCCTGGAGCAATTTCGGGGAGTGCCGTCCACAGTACTCCAATATTCGTAAGCGTAGACGAGTAATTATTGTCAAACAGAAGTCGAGGAGGGCCAGGAAAGGTCTGACAGGTGCAAAGACACGGAACAAACAAGAAGACTATAGGTAGAGATGCACTTACGTGGAGCGGAAGGAGGAAGCAATTCTGTGACAGCAGGACGGCTTGATTTCTGGAAGCAAAATGGGGGAACCACCTGTATTTATAGTCGCACTGCTGCATAGCTGCCATAATGGCGGCTGGGTCAGTCTATGAATTGAAGAAGAAGAAGAAGAAGAAGAAGAAGAGGGGGCATGGGCTAGCTTATATAGTACTCCTGCATAGCTTCCTAGGAGCTGGGACAGTGTATGACATAATCAATCAATCAATCAACATGGGCGCTGGGTACGCTGTCCCTGGTTCGGGGCTGTCCGGGGCCCTTTGTCCTGGGACAGCCCCGAACTCCAGGACGCGCAGCCCAGGCTTCGTAAACGGCTTAGGACATGCACTACGATAAGACCCCTGTCCCGGGACAACAACCCTAGGACAGAAGGGCTGGAACCGCGTGCCCAGCCCTTACGCCGCAGGACTCCCTCGTTTCCAGGGACTGCCAGCAGGCTAGGATCCTTTCGGTCACAGGAGAAACAATACCTTGGGACATCAGTCATAGGTGGGACAAGCGTCCTGCCTCAGCGGACGTCCTGTGACCCTCCCCTAGCCTAGCCCGAACGTCCTGGAGATCCCATTGTCCAGGATGGGTCGTTGGCAGCCACGAGGTGGAAGAGGTCGAAAACCGGTTTTTGGCTGCCAAAGCCGGTGCGGTCGTCGTCAGCGTCGATTATCGTATGGCTCCGGAATTCAGATATCCCTATGCTATCAACGATTGCTTTGACGTCCTCCAATGGGTACGAATTGACTCTGAGCCTAAGATCCCGCACTCATCAACATTACCATTTGAACATGTACCGTACTAAGGAACTGGCAGTGCAAACGCAACGCAACCGACTTGAGCATCAACCCAGAGCGTATCATTGTCGCAGGAGGCAGCGCAGGGGGTAACATCGTGAGTCCACATGACTTCGCGGATTGATTTTGTGAGGATTGTATCTGACCTTTCCATTCAAGGCTGCAGTCCTGGCGCAAAAGGCGAGGGACGAGAACGTGTCAGGCGTGATCGGTCAGATCCTGAACATACCGGCGACTTGCCATCCGGACTTCTTCCCATACGATCGGTATCCTGGAGGCAGCTTCCAGCAAAACAAAGACGCCAGTATTGTCAACGCCCCACAGCTGTCCTGGTACTGGAACCAATACATGCCTGATCCGTCTCCCGAGGCGTACGCCAGTCCCTTGCTAGCGAAGGATCTCAGTGGGCTTCCACCAGCGTGTAAGTGAAGAACCGTGTTCTAAAAACTAATAAAACCACTAATCTCTTGTTTTTTTCTTTTATCTCTTTGACAAGGACAAATATCTAACCTAATGATCACATTCAGTTGTGCAAGTTGCAGGACTAGATCCTCTTCGCGACGAGGGCCTGGCATATGCTGAAGCTCTGAAGGAGGCTCAAGTCCCCGTAACTCTTCGCGTATACAAAGGACTGCCCCATGGGTTCTACCTACTTCCTCAGCTCAAGCAGAGTTTTGAGTACTGGATGAACTCTGTTGACTTTGTCATTGCCCAGAGTGCGCAGTAAGCGACAAGGATTAGACAGAACGCCCAACACCAACTAAACTGGAGCGTAAAGGATGGTCAAAGATAGGTGGTAGTTTTCCTGATCTCAGCACGTCGTGGACCAAATGCATCAAAGCTATTTATAGGCGAGAGTGATCATAATCTTTGCTGAACCCGGTCAGTCTTGACACTCTCGAAGAGTGGTCAAGTATTTGTACTTTCAGGAATTACAGAGCTCCCAAGAATTAACCGTACATTCGGCGCAAGTTCAGCCTTCCACAAAGCATTGTCTATGGATCGCCTATGAGGATGGAGAAGAAAGAGCGTAGAGGCAACATTTTACGTGCTGAGTGGAGGGCCAAGTGTAGGATTGCATTGGCCGAACACCTAAGACCTGATCGCTCGCGCTTGGAACATTAGTTAGTTCACTACTAAGCGGCTTCCCAGGGCTAAAATTGGGGATCTCCATCCAACCCGGGGAGGTACGGCCGCAACCAAAGCCGGAACACGGCTATTCATGGAGATAGCAAAGCAGCACCTCTTCTCAAAACAGCTCAGTAAGCACTCCGTTGGAGCTTACATGGAACTCTGTCGAGAAATCGGCAACTCATTCGAAGCGATTCCACAAGCAGTATTCGCAGAAGGATCATCACAAGGTCGGGTAAGGAAGCACCCTCAGGGATCTCATGGTTACATCCACTGAACTCAGGCAGCATGCTAGTCATTCAAGATCGATTCTTCAACTCGATGCCCAAACAAAAGCATTACAGACCGAAAAGGAGAAGCTGTCAGCGGAACTCAGGCAGATTCAGGATCAAGCTAATGCTGAAAGCGTATTGCGCTTCCAAACTGAACACAAACTGAGTGAGTTAGAAGTAGACTTATCTCTGATGCGGGACGAGAATGCACGGCTATCACTGATGAACGAGAAACTCACCAAACAAACGGAGCAATCCGACGCAGAGCGAAAGAAAGTTTTGGCGGTCCTCTATAGCCTAGGGCCGGGCCCTTCCAGCGCAATACTTTCCTACATCTAGGCATTGGCCTGGAGCCTGAGGTGATTTCGTCTGCTACCGTCTCCTGGAAGCAGTCGTGGCGTTGCTGTCTAAAAGCGGCATCAATACAGATGCACCCAGATCTCGGCTTCAAACAAGCAGGACAATGTTCAGCCACGTACAAGCTGCGCCACGACGCAACCTTGCCGTCGTTGCCTTCGACCATGCAGTCTTTTCGTGATCGACTCACCTCTTCTTCCATGCTTGAGATACAGATTTGGCGCCTCTATACTGAACAAGCTACTCGAGTTGCGTCCGTCCGAGAATATACCGATCCCGCTCCTCGTGCTTGACGATGCGTCTCTTAGAGCGCAAACCTGACGGCGCCCTCGCCTTTCGCGAATCCTCCGTTGACGACCTCCCTGCCTACACAATCCCCTCCCATACCTGGTTAGCAAACAATGACCGAAGAGGTCAGCTTTCAAGATGTCGAGGCGGGCACCGGCAAGAGCAATGTTGGGTGGAAGAAGATCCAGTTCTGCGCGGATAAGGCTGCGGCTGATGGCCTTCGATACTTCTGGATAGATACTTGCTGCATCAACCAAAGCAACAAAATCGAAGTCGCCGACTTCATCAAATCAATGTACTTGTGGTACGCTCAATCCAAAAAGTGTTTTGTCTACCTCGAGGATGTCGATGAATTAGACCCTCAGTCTTCCGTCGAAGATCAGATGCGAGCTGCCAGGTGGTTTACGCGTGGCTGGACACTTCAGGGATTGATCGCTCCGAAGGAAGTCGAATTCTATTCCAGCAATCACACGCTTCTGGGAACGAAAAAGACGTACAGTAAGCTCATCAACGAGACAACCAAAATTCCGGTGGATGCCTTTTGCAACGAGGAGCCTCTGTCAGCGTTCAGCCTGGCCCAGAGGTTCCATTGGAGATCACGGCGCTCTACCAAGCGCGATGAGGACACAGCATACAGCCTGTTGGCTATCCTGGAGGTTGATATCGAGATCATCTATGGCGGAGAGAATCAAGCATTTTCACGACTACTCAACGAGGTGGCCCGAAGAGAAGGAGGTATGTTGAAGCGTAATCTCATAGGCAACGCGGCGTACTAATGCTATACAGCTCAGAGCGGCGCAGCCCACGGAAGAACATTGACTCGTAAGTGCTTTCATTCTCCTTTCTGTCCTTGTCCGCTCCACTCGTCCAGGCTTGGAGCATGCCGCCACCCCGTCAGTTACGCGATTGCCAGAGCACTTGGAAGTTGACCTGTGATGTGGACACGCTTATAGACAACCCAACCCTCTGGCCCTCTACGGAACTTGTCCCATCTCTGGCACAGGTCCCGGATGAGCAACTCGATGCAGGCCGCATATCGGTCAAAAGAACCCAAGTCGGGCTTGAAAAAGATTTCAAGTTCGGCATGTTCGTAATGAACCATCATGGCCACGATGTCGCGGAAGAGACGTTCGAGCTAGCTCGGAAAGAAGCCGAAGATGCGTTCGAAACCACCCAGGACGGTTCCATGGTTCGGCATCGTGTCTATTCATTGTGCCGCTTGGGGAATGTGTACCGACGACAGCACCGATACAACGAAGCCAAGCAAATATTGCTCACGGCCCTCGCATCCCAAGAGAAGTTCGGTCAGGAGCCATCCGTGTTCGAAACACACAACAGTCTGGGCACCGTGTACACGGACTTAGCCCAGCTAGATCAAGCAGAGAAGTACATCCAGGAGGGCGAGATGGGGAGAAAGAAGCTGTCAGACGCCAACAAAGCTGACCTCCAGGCCATGATCAACTGGGTCAAGTCATTCCACAATCAGGTTGTCATTCGTCGCAAACAGCAGGGCAACCTGCTCGAGGCGGAAGAGGCCTACGAAAACGTGCTGAGGGAGGTGGAGAAGTGGCCACAAAGGTCGAAATTCGGGCTCCAGGAGTTGCAAATTCGGACAGGGATTGGAAGCCTCTACCTGGAAGAACGAGAAGGTGAGACGCACTTGGAGGCATGCGGTCGAGCTCGCCGAGCCAAAGTGGCCTTCGAAAAGGCGCTTGACGCTCGGGTCAAAAAGGCCAAAGCGGAGTGGGCCGGGGTTGATCCTTTCTTTCTGAAACATCCACAAAGTACTGAACCGGCGTATCTGCATGCCATCGAGGGCTTGGGCAGGGCGCGTGCCCTGCTCGGCGAAGATTCAAAGGCCCAAGACTGCTTCAAGCAGGCCTTTGAGGGTTTCCTGACGATCAATAGTGTCGATATTGGACAGCCGGCCGAAGCATCTGCCGTTTTCTACGTCAATAGGGGTCACCCGTGGAAGGCGGTAGGCCTTTGCAAGTCTTGAGCGAGCAGCGTACCCCGGTCAAGGAAGGGATCGAAGCTTTGGAGAGCCTCCGCCGCAACATCGGAGCACACATGCAGGCAAAAGGATTGGTCAAGCCGCCGCGAATTTGGGATTGGGTAACTGCAACAGTCCTGTAAGATTGTGGAACTTTAGAGAGACTACGACGACATGAGATACATACATCGGGCACATGAAGCGGGGTGACTAGTGACCTTTACCAACGCCTGAGTTTGCCTGTCCTTGGACACCACCACTAACGACGAACAAGGACCACAGAAATGACAAGAAATGAGAGCAACGACAGCAACGACAGCAACGACAGCAACGACAGCAACGATACCTAGCAACCACGCGTGCCACGCAGCTTCCGCCACCATGGACACCGCTCGACAGTCTTCCGACCACATGGATTCCCTGGTTTCGTCCCTAACCACACCGTCCCTCTGTTCCAACGATGTAGGAAGCATGACGACCTGTGCTGAGAGTACGCTGAGACTGCCCGCGGATATGATAAGAGCTTGGTCAATCTCCTGCCCCCGGGTTCAGACAATGAACATGAACACCAGAGGCACGATGACGAGGACCAAGGAGATGCAGATCGGCCCACATGGGGTGGTTCAACCCTCCAACTCGGGATGCCGCACACTCCTGCGTTGTGGGGATAACATTCCCATCGGCACACGTGCGACTCGGCCCAGCTATGCTCGAATCCGGGAATCACGCTGGTGGTGGTGGTGGTTGTGGCGGTAGTAGTGGTCGTCGTGTCAGTGGCCATGCTTGTCGAACTAGGCACAGACGAGGTTGTCGGCGGGGTAGACAACCAATCCGCCATGCCCGGAATGCTCCATAGGCTCACCACTGTGGTGAAGGAGGGTCCGAGCGGGCCGGCCGCAATGTTCAAGGTCGTTGTGGTCACATTCACTCTGCCGGTGTAGGCTCTGATCTGTCGCGCCACAGAACAACGGTCCGGGTTCAGAGCGATCATTTGGAACAGCATGGCCTTCAACTGGGTTCTTGTCAACTCTTTCTCCATTTCGATGGTTGTGTCGGAGTCTTCGGCCTGTCGTGGAAGCATGGCGGAGCTGTCCAAGAGCTCCAGTACCTCGGAGAGAAAATAGTCGAACGGTTCGATCGCCGCCGCCCTTTGGTCGTCGTTGATGGCGAAGAGAGGAATGGAGTCCGTATCATCGTAATCAGAGAGTGTTCCTGGCATGTTTTCCGCCATCATATCCTTGTACTTTGGCATCTCTATGTGGTTCTCTACCACGGAACTTCCGGCGGCTGCGAACGCGACGTCGTAGGGGTTGTCATCCACATAGGTCGAGAGCTCGTTGTCAAAGCTACGTTTCAGAGGCGGAAAATATAAAATTCTGGCTCATCATTTCATAGTCACCGGCGGTGTCCGTCTGGTCCTCCCCACTAGTCCAGACCGCGCCATATTCCGTGGTGGAAGTGTTAGCACAGTGCCACTGCGTCCACAATCCCAACGCTTTCGTGCCATCCGGCCTGGTTAAGGTTCCATACAGAACCTGCTGCGCGCAGAAAGGACGGGCGGGGCTCACACTATTTGAAGCACTGACCGTCGATCAGTATCAGTATCGGCACGTTACGCAAGCACTCTCTTGAGGGCAAAGAAGGGTGGAAGGGATTTCTCACCAGACTAGAGTCGCCTGGTCTGGAGGCTCGGTCGATGAATCGAGATAGTAGTCGGCAAAATCGATGCACTTGACCTCAAAAATGCATGAGCTGTCGGCATGGCCAGCCTCATTGATCGGACAGCAGCCGAAGGGCCCCCCGGGAGTAGGGTCCCAGACGCAGGGACCCTTGGACTCGGCACAGGTCAGGGTCGTGGTCGATATTACTCCACATGTGTCGGAGCTGTCTCTCTTGTTGAGTTGCTGCAACACCAGGTCGTCTTCTGGTGGTGGTGTTGTCTCTGGACCGGCGGCTGCGGTCGTTGCCGTCGATGCATTGGCGTGGACTCCATGTTCCGGCACAATCAAATCGGGACTGGTGGTCTCGGACGGCGGCGACGCTGAGACAAAGATAGCGAAGAGTAGGACGGCGGATGAAGGCGAGAGACGCATGGTGCAGAAGACGACCCAGCAGTATCCAGATCGTACCTGGAACCGAAGCAAGTCCTATCGAGCTTGCGGATGTGGTATCGCATACTGGAAAACAGGACACCCTCAGCTTACAGGCGCTCTGAGTTACGCGCCGCATGCGACGCGTACGAGGGTGGCCGGAGCTCTGGAAGGTACTAGGGTCCTGAGTCGCGACGACGGATAGTTCGAGGAACGCGTGCGAGGCGCTTACGGGTCGGAGTGGGAGCGAGGCAATATCGCGAAGTTGACCGCAACCCGACGCAGGTGGAGGGGACTGTCTAGAGCCGCAACCTGACACGCGATGAAGGGGACCATCGACCGGCCGCAACCCGACACAGACGGAGGGGATCGTCTGTAATCCAGGCGACCGCAACCCGATGCGGAGGAAGGGGACCCTCGACACCGCAACCTAACACAGACGAAGGGGATCAACCAGCGATGGAGCCCAGTGTCCACAAGGGATAGTTTGGAGCCAGGCATGCGGAAAACATACGGGTCGGAGTCGTGACAAAGAGGTATCGCCTAGCAGTGAGGGCCGTTGATGTATGCTTAAGGAGTAAACAGGGAGTCACCTAGGTAGAGGAGTGGTCTGGTCCGCCTCACTCTATGGACGCGTAGACCAGCGAGGAGCTCCGAAAACTAGGAGTATATCTGGATAGGCAGATAGGGCGCAATACTATATGATTCCTTGGCTTCGGCCGCCTCATATCGACAGCCAAAAGGACAGCACGCACAAAAATCCAAGGGGAATGGCAAGAAGAGTGGAGAGCCAGCCCTAAAGGCCAACATTTGAAAAGAATCGACAAAGGCTTAACGGCCAAGCGAGCCTTCCGCCTTTACAGTCAACTCACCCGACACCGGACCTACCTCATGATTCAGATGCGTATCGGACACTCCTGGTTCGCACCACATGGCCGACGATTCAGATTCACCGATGACGACCGCTGCGTGTGCGGAGCAATCGAAACTGTAGTCCACGTGCTGGTGGACTGTCCGAGGCTCTGGGAAGCAAGACAAGAACTACGTACTAAGGTAGGGGGTACACTTGAGTGCAACGCAAGCATGCTCGGAGGAACTCCTCGGAACGAGCGAGGTAAAGTAGGCAGTGGCGGGATCAAATGGAAAATCATCAACGCAGTGCTCGAACTTGCGGAAGCATCCGGAAGGTTCAAATCACGAGTCCTGCCAGTGTGGCCAAGGGATCATGACAGGCCCCAAAGAGACTGAAAGATCGCGCATGTAGTATAGTTTCTTTCTGAGCGGAGATCATAGAGCAGTTTAGACAGTAGTCGCCCACCATCACTCCCCACGGAGAGAGAGGACAGGGTCAAAAGCGATCCTCATTCATTCATTCATTCATACTTCGCCAGTGTGACATATTAGAAGGAGGTCCAGGTCTTGAAAGTGAACTCATTCGACTATCATTCATGTCAACTCCGAGTCTTCGAGACTCCTCGAGCTCGCCATGAGGTTCACGGCTACAATGTACTGCGTATGGGAGAGGGTTGTATGCGTGCGTGGCATGGCCAAAACCTCTGCTCCGGTGCGAGTACTGATAGTGAGTTCGGCTATATGACTCGCATGCTATAATTCGCGCATCAACGGCACAGTTAGCGCATCCATATGTACACTTTCTGTTTAAGGATGGCTAGGTGAAGACGCCCGGCGAAAGGATCGCGTAGGCTTGTGACCGATAACATCGCAGTGTCTTTAGTAGTTGGTCTGAAGTAGATGCCAGCTCAACAGGACTATCCCTCGCGGCGACGGCATCACAAGTTGGACTTAGACTAACCCAGTGTTCGACAAAACCAATTCAAGGATGTACAATCGATTTTCCCCTTCCCTTCGACGAATGTCTATAGCTTGGCGCTGGAGCCTTCCATCAAGTTTTCGTCTTTTGCAAATTGGTAGTAGTACTTCAAGCTCTCCGGGTTGGCCAAGGTCTCGGACGGTTTGATGACTTTGCCCGACACGATCTGTTTGACGGGGAGCTCGACCTTCTTCGCGTTGCCCGTCGACTGTGCACTATTGTCAGCCTCAGCACCATGGACACGACAACTGTGGGAAAATTTTAGCAGGAGAAAACCTTACCGGAATTTCTGGGGTTTCGAAAATGTATTTCGGGACATGTCGTGGCGTGTATTCTTTTCTGATCGCGGCTCGGATCCTCTGCGCCAGTTTTGGGTTGAGTTTCTTGCCCGGTTTCATCAGCAAAAACAGGATGACGGCTTCGTCCTCATCCTTCGGCCGTCGTTGACCCACGCAGATACTGTCGGCGACAACGTCGCTGAATTCTGACTCAATGACACTGTAAATATCTGCACTGCCAAAGCGGACTCCACTCGGGTTCAGCACCCCGTCGGCGCGACCGAGCATGAACACTTGTTTGGTCACAGGATGGATCATGATAAAGTCTCCGTGTGTCCATATGTTCTCGTACTTACTGAAATAGCTGTCGTGGTATCGTTTCATGGTCTTTTCGCCCCAGAAACATACGGGCATCGTGGGGAAGGCCTCGGTGCACACCAGCTCCCCGGCCACACCCATAGGTACGGGCTTGCCCTTCCCGCTCTCGATGCTGGAGTCATACACAGAGACAGCCATCCCCAAGGCAATACATTGGCAGCCACCGACGTAAACAGGAAGAAGTGGATTTCCTGTTGCGAATGCGGCCGCAATGTCGGTGCCGCCGGAGATGTTGCAGAGTTGGACGGATGGTGGAAAGCCTTCGTCGTAGAACCATTCGAAGAGCGAGTCAGACAACACCATACCTGTACTCGTCACGACTTTCAGGTGAGACAAATCCGCGACGTCTTTGGGCCGGATGTTGTTCATTCGAAGGGTTTGCATGAAGCGAGGCGAGATGCCTAAATGGGTCACTTTTTGTTCGCCAACCATCCGAAGAAAGGTCTTGTGGTCTGGAACGAAAGGACTGCCGTCGTACATGATAACCCGACAACCCATCAAGAGGAGTTGAATAGAACTCATGTACATCATCCACCCGGTCGTTGTGAATTGCAGCTGAGTCGACGTCGAGTCTACTCGGCGGTGCAGTGTAGATTCCTTGTGCCCGCTGAGGACAAGACCGCCTACTGAGTGAACGATACACTTTGGTTGACCGGTGGTCCCGGAAGAATAGACAATGATCATCGGGGCACCGAACTCGACGCGTTCGAACACCAACTCAGATGACATGGCCTTGGAGATGAAACGATCCCAAGACTCGGCATTCGGGATCGACGCAATGTCTGCCAGAGAACCTTGGAAGCGTGGCTGAACCACAATTCCTTGGAAGTTCTTTACGCCGTTCAGTCCCTCGACGACCTCTCGAATTTTCGGCCGCAGGTCAATCTTTTTCTTGTTGTACACGGCGTAATCGTCAAAGAAGACGAACTTTGGCTCGATTTGCCTCAGCCGCTCAAGGATGCCCTTGGGCCCAAGATCCGTGCTCGAACTCGAAAAGATTCCTCCCAGGGCCGTGACGGCGAGGAAGACGGTCAGGGTGTCGAGGCAAGAGCTTGCAACAATGGCGACTCGGTCCCCTTTGCCAACCCCACGGGCTCTCATGGCTTGCGACAGACGACCAACTCGCTCACGAAGCTCTCTCCAGCTCGTCTGGCGGATTGGTTCCACATAGCAGCCTTCTCGTACCTCAGTCGAAGCAATCTTCCAGTCTTCTTTGCCAGGGCTTGTGGTCGGACGACCCTGTCGATCGCCCACGTACAAGATGTTCTCTGCGAAATTGAGCTTGACTCCTGGAAACCATTTCGGATTTGTGTCAATGGTAGCCTTTTCATCAACCACCGGATCAGGCAACTTTCCCTCGTACACCACAGGGAAATAATCAAGACAAAAGCGCCAGAAGTCTGACCGAGACGTACACGACCATTTGTAGATTGATTCATAGTCCTACTAGGTGTCATGATATAGATGGTGCTGATGAGTGGAAACTCACTTACTGTGAACGACTTCCCCGTAACAGCTTCCGCTTTTCTCATGAATTTATACAGGTCTTCACTCTGGGGGTCGAGGTTCTCCCAGCATTTTCGGGGTACAATATTTGACGACGCCATTTTCAACAGAATTTCTTCGAAATTCAGTGACTTCTTGTTTCATCTCGCCATCACAAGATGGCACCATCGAGGGGAAAGTTCAATTTCAAAACGTATATTTCACTTGGTGTGAACAAGGAACGATGGTACAGGTCTTGTTGTGATAAGGCGTGGTGGAGACAGTCGTGTTCGGGCCGTCGGCCAAGGATCGGCTGCTGCACATTCTTCAGCCCAACTTCTTCTCAGACAATTTCCCAACGAGCAGATCGCAGTCGCTGACTTTGTGACGCCATTTCATTTCTGTATCTGGGATCTAGGAGCCCTGGGCTTGTCGTCAGGTGTAATTGGTTCTGATATCTTATCTTGGATATGGCTATCAGCACCCAATTTGACGAACTGAATTACATTCGAACTGCACGACATCCCTAGCCTGATCATTTGTTCCAGTGTGTACAAGGTTTGTGGTCCAATGCCAGCGAGTTGCACTACGGGCTCTGTCCCCTGGGCGCGATCCCGTCAATGTGATCCAAACCAGTCTCACCCTCAAAAGCCTGCCCAGCCACATCGACGTGCAGCGCGTCCGTGAGGACGAACAACATCCTATTCCACTGATCGGTATGCCCACGAGTCCGGGTCAACTGTGTCGTACCGGGGATGATGATGACTGTAACCCAATGTTCTCCCCACCAACGTGGAGGTGACAAGAGACCTGACAAAGCTACGGGACTTGAGCTCTTCCTTTTCAGCCGAGAAAGTAAATGGCGCAATTGACAAAACAAAGCTGAAGAAGCTGGCAATAACAGAGGTAAGAATAAATTGCCTGCGATACTGTATTGCCTATATAATAGATAGGGATCTCCCTCCGAGAGAGGGAGATCAGACTCGTCAATACGTCCCATTTAGCCCCCAGACATTGCCTATCCCTGCGTGTTGCATAACAGCAAGCACCCCTAAAGACAGGCTATCTATGGCCCAATGAAAGAAATTTTTGTGCTTTAATGGACTCGTAAAGAAGATTCAACGCTGCTAACCGCGTGTACTTCCAGAACCGAAATATCAGAAGAACATTTTCGACGACAGGGGTGCATGAGTAAGGTTACGCCACCGCCTGAGGTGGGCGAACCACCATCGGCCCGACGGGGATATCAAGTGTTGGCTGTGGTGACTCCAGCTATAGGCATGTCCGTCGAGGGTCAGATAAAGGAGCATTCGCATGAGAACAGGGCAAGGTTTGGCTGGCGGTCAGAAGCTCGTGAGTGCTGGACCGCGGTATCCACGGAAACCTTGTCTATTTAACACCCAGAAACATCAGTGATATGTCTTGTAGAGCTTCTCAGCTTCAACCCAGGCCAGCCTATTCGGAAATAAGGAACTCACATTTACAAGCGATACATGTGAATGAGTTTTGTCATGGCGGAAAACGAGACATTTGAAGCTGCTCCAAGGCGTCCACATATAAACGGAAAAGTACAGAAGTGGCTGAAGAGCACTAGGGACGAAGACGGCGATTTGTTGGCAGGAAACTGGGTTGCCAGCATCATGCCACATCTCAGACTGCTGGAAACGTCTTCAGAAGGTTGTCATTCTTCCGTGTCTTTCGTCTTTACTGTACAGCCTGAGCACTGTAATCGCATGCACAGTCTACACGGCGGCTGCATTGCAACCATCTTTGACTTCACCACAACAATGGTCATGGCTCTTGTCACTCGTCCCGGGTTTTGGCAGAGCATGGGCGTCTCTCGCTCGCTGAATGTGACCTATCTGCGACCTGCTGCAGCGGGAACTGAGCTCCTCATTGAGTGTGAGATAGTGCAGGTGGGCAAAACCCTCGCAACACTGAAGGGCATAATGCGGACCAAAAAGGATGGACGGATCACGGCAACATGCGAGCACGGCAAAGTCAACAATGACTCCAGATCACATCTATCATAGCGACGAGTTCAAGCTACAATCACTGTTCGACATTGTTCTTGACCCTCAACAGCCTCGCCATCAGTTTGGAACAAAGAATGAGTCTTGGATCTCTTTAACAGGGGAGATGGTTGGTCACTAAATGAACTTCGAAGCTTCTGTAGTTTTTGATTACTGAATGCAGAAATCAATGTTATGTGGATTGAGAGACCGCGTTGACCTTATACGTACACTCTTTCTGACCGACTCGGTAGCCATCTCGATTGCTGTTCGGATCAAAAAATCCCCATTTTTCACGAGTGCATCAACGCCTACAGTCAGAAACATGAACCGAAGAATATCTGTTCCTGATGTTTCCTTCAATCAACCCCGCCAGTGCGATGACTGTATTGGTAAGACTCATTTCAAGCAGATAGATGAACACCTCGCCTTTGAAACAGTCTTCTTTCCCTCTGGCAAACCCTTTCGATTGTCCAAGAGATCTTGAGAGCGAACGAGTGATGGTCCGAGGCAATTTGGTAAAATCACACCTTCCTACTTAGCAGGACAGGATACATTCTTCTGTGCTAGCGGACCACGAGCGCAAGTCACTTCCTCTATACAGGAACTAGGGGTAGCAAGAGGTGAGAATCATGCTCTCCACCGGTGTGAATGGTGGTCTTGCCACCGAACTTATCGGTCGGGCGGTCAACAGGATGCGTATGTCGGAATGGCCCAACTCCATCGTTGACCCTTTCTCCAATGATGACGGGCTTTCCCCGTTCGAAGTCATGGCCGCCGATCTGTAAAGCCAGAGTGTACCCTGCGGGAAGAACAATGTTGGTCTGCCAGATCTCGATCTGAACCTCAGTCACCTTGCCGGGCTCGAGGGGCCATTGTTCGTCGTGCGTGTGGAACGGCCGATGAGGCTTGCTGCGGTCCGGGTCGAGCTTGCGATGGGACGCCCGCAGCCAGCCCTGAGCCAGCGGCGTGTGGGGATCGTGGCTGCCCTGAAATTCGACCTCTTCCCCAGATGGCGAGAATGCTTGAAAGGTGAGGAACAGGTCTACGTCGGTGGTCGTGGAGGAGATGAATAGCTTTGCCGCGAGCGGGCCGGTGATTTCGGTCTCCTGGGCCAGCGGTTGCGACTGAAAGATCAACGGTGCTCCCAGAGCGTCAAACGTTGCCTGCCCGTCTTTCGAGGCCGGCTCCCATAGCAGGGCTGTGGTCGCGGCAGAAAGAAACAGTTGGGTCCATTTGACCTGGGGCAGTGGCCAGACGTCGGCGCGTCGCTCCTGGAAGTCTTCGGTAAAAGGGCGCCGGATCTTCATGCGCACGCGCTTTTCCTTTTCCCACCCGTTGCTCACACCCTTTAGATAGTGGTCGAAGAACTTTTTTTGTAGCTCCAGCGCGTAGTCCAGGTAGAAACCTTCCTCGTGCTTTCCCGAGTGAATTTCCAGCCACTTTTCGGTCGAGGCCGCCTCCTCAAAGGCCGCGAAGTTTCCGCGTTGATGCAGCCCCATGCCTCCCCAATTAGCCGCGCTCACGAAAGGCACCGTGACCTTGGACCAAACCGGCGACCGCTTCCGGTACCATTCACCGTCCCACTCCATTTGCAGTGGCACATCCACCGCGTCCATGCGGTTCTTCTTGAGCTCCTCTTCCGACAGGTTTAACGGCCCTGTTGACCTAGTGCCTAACCAGGGGTCTTCTGGCCCTTTAGGGTTGCCGTGCTGAAGCAAAATGACCTGCTTGTCGTACCAGGCTCTCAGGAAACCATTCGACAGGATGCCACCGTGCCGGGCCGTGTCGCGATAGTAGTCGGCCGAGCCCTCCCAGGCGATCATGGCCTTGAGATGCGGCGGCTGCAGAGATGCAACCAGCCACTGATTCATGGCGAGATACGAGATGCCAGCGATGCCGACGTTGCCGTTACTCCACGGCTGCGTGCCGGCCCATTCTATGGCGTGGTAAAAGTCTTCGACTTCTCGAGGCCCAAAGACGTCCAAAACGCCAGGACTGCGCCCAGCCCCCCTCGAGTCAATCCGGACGATCGCATACCCGAGCGCAGTCCACACCTCGGGATCGACACATTCCCAGATCAGATGCGAATGAGTCGACCCGGTCAGAGCGTTGGGGTGCTTGGCCCAAAAAGATTGCCAGGATGAGGCCCAACCTTTCTTCCACTCAAAGCCTTTTCCGTACGGGCTCAGTGATATCAGGACTGGAAAGCGGTCACTGTGCGCGGGTTTGAAGATGTCTGCACGGAGCTCAATCCCATCATCCATACGAATGGGCACATCACGCTCGATAATCATATTTTGTTCCATTTCGGCGCTCATTGCGGATGGCCTTGCCAAAGAAGAAGCTCAGATGGATTGTTTGGCGGGTCGAAAGACAAGCGTGATTGTCAGCTGGCTGATCTGGACGTGTAGTACAGCAAGATGCTTCAAGTTATAACATCGCTCATATCCTGTGGGAACCCACGGGCAGACTTCTCTGCTGATGCAAGCATCGTGGATGTTGCGGTGCGGTGTCGTTTGTGCGGGGTTCCCGCGTTCGCCTCGAATCCATGTACGATGTTCGGGCCGAAAGGACGTCGGCCACGACGGAGCTCAGCACACTCTGATGCTGAACGTCTGCAACACATTCCACGGGCTGTATTCGAGCTTGAGGAGAGCCGGGGTTTGTCAAGGCGGATGGATAGACAATAGGTCGCATGATTGATAGTCCGACTTGTCCCGTTATATTGAGAGTGCGGTGGTGTCGAGCTCTGACTTGTGGTTCGTTCGAAGCTCAAACGGACCATCCAACTTGCAATGCCCAGTAGCCAGAATAGATATTTTAGAGGTCAGTAGTCGATGAGTCATTGTTATGAAAACTCGATTTCTAAGAGCGTATGTATCGAATCAGTTGGCCATTCTCCATCGCCCCTCACCTGAGGCCCAGAGAGAGATACAGAAGGCTAGGAGCGCTACGCATACGACCAAAAACCTTCGCGTTCCAGGCTCACAGACGCGAGCCAATTTCTTTGACCTTCTCGTAACCGGTCTCGCCCCGGAAGACCTTTCCTGCAATCTCGACGGGTAGGGCGTCCATCAAGACGAACAACATTCTATTCCAGCCCGGACCCGGGTTCCTCCATTGGTGCATGGTGCCTCGCTGGATGCACACGTCCCCTCGTTGCAATAGTACTGTCTCGCCTGAGTCCAGAATCATCTCTTGTTCGCCCTCGATGACGACGCCGTAGTCCAGACTTTGGGTCCGATGCATGGCCGACGACGAGCCGGGCGCCCGGTCGACCATGCGTAGGACGGTGCCGTTAGGGATCGAGAGCGACATGACCGTCTTTTCGTTCTCTAAGCAGTTGTCGTGCTTGATGTCAATGGGAAAGGTGCTCGTCGACCACATGACATTGTAGCGGAACGTGTCGTCGGCGATTTTGAGCCACTCGCTCTCGTCAATCTTCTCAACAATGGCCTTGCCCCGGGCATCGTGGCCTGTAATGATCCGCTTGGGAACTCGATATGTATTTTCTTGAGCCATTGGTTCGAGGTTGGAGTGTGCCAGCGGTTGCACCTGCTTGAGTTTACTTCGCTATGCTGGTTGGGCGTGTCGAGGGAGAGAAGGAAACGTCCCAGATATGATCTAGCTGGCGGTTTTCTCTGACCGAGGAAAGGACCACGTGCCAGAGCCGACGGGCCGTATAAATATGTGAGACCGAAGTCGAAGATCTTGTTGTGATCCGTGGGACTCCTTTCCTGATGGCGATTGGTTCGGACTCGATGATCCCACCATCATCTTGTTCGGGAAAGACGGCTCAAGCGGTATAACTGCTCATGGACCTTTCACCGTTGGTGCGACGGTTGTCTCTTGCTACCAAGCTACTCTGTCTCACGTCGGCATCCCTACCCGGCAATACAAGGCATGATGTAGGCTGCACGACTACGGCGAATCAATCCTGTGCCACGTTGGGCACAGCACACTTGGTCTATCGCCACCGCGCAGGACATCATCCGATCTGGTTGTTGGAATTGAACATTTCCTCGTACAACCCCGTTGGCTCTTGGATACTGTTATCTAGCTCAAAGTGCCACCAGTCGAGGCTGCTGTTTTGGTCCATGGCCATCAGAGGGCTATTTGTCCAGTCACCATATGTGGGAACACCGGAAGCTCCCATGGCGAAGGCGTTGGAAGTCAGGTTGACGTTTCGTAAGGCGGAGTTGCCTTCGAACCTTGTTGTTGCAGGCTCACCAGTACGTTGAGACCCGGAAGATGACAGCGGCGCCTCGTTCATCAGTCGATCCAGATCATCTGGGTATAAAGTTTTAGAACTACCCCCTGGCCTGTCCCGACTAGAACTGGCGTTGAGCTTGAGTCGTCGCAGCGTGTACTGCAAGATCGAGTCCGCGAGTGGCTCAGAAAGCTGACCAGTCTCAGGAGCTTCACCCGCAAGCTGGTCGAGCTCATTGACCTGTGCTCGATTGTCCGCACGTCCGACCAGGGGTTCATCTAGACTCGCACGGTACCGTGAAAGTTGCGCCTCATACAGCACGTTGATTCGTGCCCACTGTTGAATTCAGCCTCACGGATCGAGGAACGTCAGAAAACGAGGTACTACTTACCAGTCGTTCGAGATTGGTCCAGTATACCTTTACCGATCGCAATATTTGTAGACTTGCGGTCAAGTTCGCCCGCGCAACTACTGATAGCGACGGATCTCGAGAGTAGAGAAGAGTTGTGTGGATGGACGCCGACACATACATACAGTACCCCACAAAGGATGGGATTTGGCTTCCGGGCCACTCCAGGGCCAGAAGATCCAGTGCCATTTCCGAGATCTTCTGCGCACTTTCGAGGGCAATACGAGCGCTAACACTTGTGGCCTGGGCAGGCAGAGAATCGTGGAGATGGACTCCACTAAATTTCGGCACCACCGCGGCATGGAGGACGAGCCGACATTGATGGTACATGGCGTGGACGAGGGTGTAAGCAGAATTCTGGTTGACGACGAGCTGCTCGTACAGGTTGCGTCTTGAATATGCAAGGGTCTCCGGCAATTGCGACGCCCAACGCAACAGGCGGGCCTCTAGTTCAAATAAGCCTGTCAGCCACTTCCCCATCTTCATCTGGTCGAGACTTCGTATGTGGTCGCGGATTTTGGCCCTGCTGAAGGGTTAGCGGAGAAGGAAAGGTGGAATGATAATGCTTCCCAATAACAGATCAACGTCACGAGTTCCGCCATAAGACTAGGGCAGGCAGAAGTCTTCCCACAGAGGGCGGGAGATTCTTTGATGACATCGCCCAGTGCCAGCAATGGCTCCTGCACGCCGTTGGTGAACGAACGCTCCCCTATCGGCAGGGGCGAGCTCATGATTCGGTCATCGTGGATGAAGCCCAAGGAATGGTCGGCATTGATGCACTGCGTGATAAACGAGGCCCAGAAGCATCTCCTCATGGTCTCTGATCGGAGCCACCCTGGCATGGTCTCTAATGAAGTTTGTGCGTCTGGCAGAAACGACGACTCGGTTGAATTCAGTTCCAAAGTGCAAGCTGCCTTGTATGCTATCCCTGTGCGACAAAGGCATGAATGGTCGCCTGAAGCACAGCCGATGGGAAGCCTTACTTACCTGAGAACATGGTGTTCCTCAAAGTCTCGCCCGCCCCAAACCAGTACAGCGCGAGCACCTGGCACGTCTGCACGCTCTCGAATGACGGCTGGTCTATATTCTGTAGAACGTCTTTGCCAGCGCGCACTGCCCATTCGTGTCCCAGAGCTTTGAGGTCTCCCAACTGGCGCAACGAGGCCGCATACTTTTCGACCATCGGAGGCGGGTGCAGGAATCTAGTCGACATTAGCGATTGGCCACTCGTTTTGTCGGTCACTCAATACATGGTAGACGTCGCATAGACGGCCAACAGGACATGGCGAGAGAGTGTTCTGTTGGCAAACGCCTGTAAGAAGGTCGGACGGTGGAAGATCAATGTCGAGTTGAACATGCAATTGAAATATGTGTCCTGCAGGAGTACATGAGCGTCCGGCGAGAGGCGCGAGTCGATGTTGAGGCCGGGGTCGCCATGAGAGGTATTGTCATAGGAGCTCTGAGCCTGCCCTGGAGACAGGGATTTTAGAGACGTGGGGGTTCCAAGCAACGCAAAATTGAACTCAGTCGTATCGATTGCTGCATTGACACCATTGCCGTTGCCGGCATTGGTATCACCAGCCAGGGGCTTCTTTGGTCGCGCGCGAAATGACGCCAGCAATCTACGATCGGGAGGTGGAGGGAATGTACAATTGGCACCTAGCCTAGAGCACCGGGCACAACGAGGTAGTTCGCGAGAGCACCTCAGCTGTCGGTTTGCGTCAATTGAGATCCGTTCAACTCATGTACCTGACACGCTCACGGATTGGGAACACACACCTTCTGCTCTCGGCACCGACGACAGGCCGTTGCTGCAAGATCGGCCATGCTGGGAGCCCAGGAACAGGGCAAGGCCAACGCTCGCTCTCCAGCTCTCTTTCGCCGAGAGTTCGTCGCCTTCGATGCAGTAACCAGGCCACCTATGCTCGCTGTAGGGTGGAAGTGTCCGAGGCGTTCGCTCAGTGTAATCTCAGAGGGTCCGTCGTTCAAACTCGCGTCTTGTAGAATGAATGCATTGGCAAGTCGAAGGTGCAAGGAATTCTCCCGGTCACGCGGGTCTTAGTCCACCCAAGGTCGGGATAGTGGGGTACGGGGACAAAGTTAAGCGACGTGCTTGGCTCCCCAGGCGGTTCGAGGGTTGCTCGACTCATTGCCGGGCCGCGAGGCTGACAAAGCCTAACTGGGCACCACTTGGCTCTGCAATATAGACCAGGGTTGGCATTTGAACATGGTCAACTCTTTAATATTGAAAGCTCGATCTCCAGATGCTGTTACACGAACCCTCCAGTCCGCGCATGATCATGGTATAGAGGGTGTGCGCCGCTCGATATCCATGACAATTGACTGTGGCAAACGGAGGTGAGCCCGTTCGTCATTTTGAGAATTTCACAGCCGACTCTGAGGGACTCTATTGGGCCCCGCGGGCTTTCCACTCTCCAAGCTCCACCACGCCTATTCCCCGGAGCTCTCGGGCCTCGCGCATGGAAGACGCTGCAAATAAGGGGTCTAGATCATTTGATTTCGCCACTGCTCACCCCTCCTGTCGGACCTTGGTCACACACTATGGGTGGCATTCTGGCCATGGGAACGGTCTCTTGCCACACGCAGAAACACTGAGACAAGGGTAAGATCAGGGGATTCTCCTGCCGAACGGCCTGGGAGGGACCTGCTCTTTTTTTTGAGCCTCGTCGCCCAAGGCTCAAAGAGGCAGGATGCCGAACGTTCGGGCCGAACGCCGATTTGTTCTGCTTGGTACGGTTGCTGGACAAGAGTTCCATACAGGCAGGCCGGACTCCTCTGCTACTGGACACACCAGATGCCCCCCAAGGGACACATCAACCATCTTCGGACCAAAGATCATCTGGTTCGTGGTCGCGCCTGCTACCATTGTACAGTCACACAGGCATAATGTTGGTTAGACCTGCGCTAACCCTATATAGGCTAAACTGTATCACGTGTCTGGTATTGACTTGTTTTATTACAGCCTGTAAACTAGACCTTGTATACCTACCTACCTACCTAGGTACTCACAATCATGGCTCCTTCAACGCCTCCTAGGCTTCATCGACTCACGCGAGACCAGCGACTAGATATTCTCCTGATGCGTCATAGACGCCAATGGAGGTCATACCAATTGGTAATGGTAATACCACTAGTAAACTACTAAGGACCTATTAGGAAATCCTAGTACCATTTAGTGCAGGTCTAACCAACATTAGGCCTGTGTGACTGTACATTCTGGAGGCCGAGGGATGGGGAAAATCGATCGGGTGACAAATCAGGACATCAATACCCGTAACGTTAGCGGGTAGAGCTTTTTCTTGCCACGGCGGTCCCTAGCACGCTATTGATGGAACCAAAAGCCATATGGCCGACGGTCCGAACAGAGTCACCACCCCGCCTCGATCGAATGTACACCTCGACAAGGGTGTCTCTCATGGCCCCAAACCTGGAGCAATGTCGTGGTTAGGGAATCTGGGGTTATATGATACTCCAGACTCTCCGCTCCTAACGCCCATAAGCAGCTCGCATCTTCAGATCAATTCAGCATTGGTCACGTAATGCATGCTTCAGGCAGTAAAGAAGAGCACGGTCTCAACACTCTCAACGTCGAGAATGTCGAAGAAGGCCAACCAAAAGAGATTTTCGACGCCGCGCAAATCAGTTCTCGCTCTCGCAGTCCAGCGGAAAGAGCCTTGCTCAGGAAGCTAGACTGGGTCGTCCTGCCGGTACTCTGGCTGATGTACTTTCTCAACTTTCTTGACCGAGCTGCAATCACCGTTGCCAGACTGAACAGAATGGAAAAGGATCTGAACCTCACATCAGTGCAATACCAAGCCTGTGTTTCCGGATTGTTTGTTGGATATCTCCTTGGACAAATCCCATCCAGTAAGTCGCTCTCAGAGACTGTCCGCCGACATTGACCAGCCTTTAGACATGATCATCACCAGGGTACGACCGTCAATTTTTCTGGGGTCCTGGATGGCCTTGTGGGCTATCTGTAGTACGCTCCAGGGTATTGTCCACAACTTTACAGGCCTATTCTTGGCCAGGTTCTTCCTCGGCTTTACAGAGGCACCCTTTTATCCTGGTGCTCTGTATCTGCTGTCGATCTTTTATACACGCACGGAAATTGCTACGCGGATCTCGATCCTCTTTTCGGGAAGTGTCTGTGGTAACGCCTTCGCCAGCCTCATCGCCATCGGAGTCTTCAAAATGCACGGAGTGGCTGGTCTTGCAGGTTGGAGATGGCTTTACATCCTCCAAGGGATCATCACCTTCGTCGTGGCCATCATATCGATCTTTATTCTCCCCGATGAACCCAGCAACACTCGTTGGTTGTCACCAGACGAAAGAGAACTCGCGCAATCACGCGTTTCCGGAGACACAGTTGCAAGACGCACCAACACGAGTACATGGGCTGGACTCAAGGATGCCGTCACCGATCAAAACCTCTGGCCTCTCATTCTCATTCAGCATCTTGGAGTAGCGGCGAGCGGTTACAAGAACTTTCTACCGACTGTAGTGCAAACATTGGGCTATGGCCAAACAACCACCCTTGGTATGACCTGCCCCCCTTATCTTGTGTCTGGTGCGCTTTCCGTGCTATGGAGCTGGTCTTCAGGTAATTCAATCGCTCCTCATTCATTGTCGTGACCGCGCTGACCCTTTCGACAGGACGTCGGAACGAACGTACATGGCAGTAAGTAGTCACATCCAGATCCATCTTCCGTTCGACGACGCTGACGGCTTTTTAATGTCAGTCTCTCCATGGCTCTTACTACTGCCATCATCGGATTCATAATAGCATCCGCGACGACGAATACCGGTGCACGCTATTTCTCGATTTTCGTCTTCACCACTGGAGTCTACGCCATTTCTGGTATCAACCTGGGATGGGTGGCGAGTACTTGTGGCCAGACTAAAGAGAAAAGGGCTGTTTCCCTGGCAGTCACCAATACCATCTCGAACATTGCAACCATCTACACTCCGGTGAGTCCGATCAGGTCGTTGGGGACTATAGCCGTTGCTAACAAATCGTCCAGTACTGGTGGCCGGCGTCAAACGGGCCTCGATACGTGATGCCCTTCACCATAAGTGCCGTCTTTCTGGTTGTGGCGGCGTTGTCGACCTTCACGTTGAGATGGATGCTTGTCCGTGCCAACAAGAAGATTCGTCAAACAGAGTCCGAGGCCCAGGTCCTCTATGCTCTCTAGACGAGATTACCATCCAGGCGGGTAGCTTCAAGATATCCGGAACAACACCGCTTGGATTCTAGTTCGGTCGTTCCAGACGGCTGGATGTTCGATGTAAGCCAGTTCTGCCCGGTCTAAATGAGGAGACTGTGACAAGCATGGGCCACATAGTTGTTAGTCCACTGAGAAGCCCGAATGCCCAAGTCATCGTTTTCATCCACCTTTCGTGTCAATCATGCCAGTTCATGGGGCCAATCAGCAACCTGTACGTAGACGAAGAGATTAAAAGACCAAGGTTTGGGGAAAGTCGAGCGCGCCATTGGATACGAGCGTTTTGTGGACATCAAGTTGCTCTCTGTGGTTGCGTGAATGCTCAAGTTGATTAGTCGGCAGACGAGGCTGTGGGATGAACGAAAGGAGATCCAAGCAATATCATTTCGATGAACAAAGACGATGCGTATGTCCTCCATCTCGAGGAAAGCCTCGATGTGATTTCGGACCCTCATTTCTAGTATCTGGTCAGTGGGGATTGTTGTGGCGTCCAGAGTCAATGGGAGGGCATGTTTTCCATTTGTTAAGTGGTTGTTGATAAAGATCGACCGGCATAGAAAAAAAGTCCAAATACCATCGGCGGTGAGAAGATTGTTGATCAAGTTACAGAACAATTGGGGACTGATATTCTAGATGACAAAAGAGGAGGGGCTCTTTCCGGATTATCAGGGTTCAAAATGTGCTTTTGGGCGAAGAAAAACGGTAATGGGTATTACGCACCCGAGGGTTGGTATTACGCACCCATCCCCATTGGGTTAGCGTGATTCGGGTAACATTCCTTGCCAGGAATAATTTTCCTTGCATCCCCCCCAGGCGCGCCTATTCACAGCGTTCTAGGTTCGCGTTCTAGGCGGCGTTTTAGGCGCCCTAGGCTTGCAAAATATAATGATGCTAGGAACGATGCAAGGAATGCAGGGAATGATGCTGTCTCAGTGCTGGTTAGAGGCGACTCTCACCTATTTTCTATGGGAGTTCCTTTCACCGCGCATTGCGCTCCACACCTAGTCTAGTCGAAAGGTCATGGTTCCTGGGATATGAGTTGACTGTCTTCGTCCTCGACCTCGTCCTCCGCGGCCTCTTCCTAGGCCTCTATTCGACTCATTTAGACGTCTCCTTGCCTCCTGATTGGCCTGTTCTATTGCGGCGTCAGCCGCTCAGGCTCAGTCAACATCCGCCTGTTATTCACATCATATCGATGCCGCGGGATGATATCTGGTGGTTACGCAACCTCAGCATAGTTAAATGTGATCTCTCGGCATCGATCTAGACGCCAGTGAACGTCGAAATCCTCAACCTGAAGATGCTCCATTAATTCAATGTGTTCTCGGATGATATAAGGACATGGAAGGCCCCATCGACGCTCGAACGAGCCTGTGCAAGGTCTCCATGTTGTTGGAGGAGCCCGCAAGGTTGCGGGTGTTGCATTCATATAAATATTGTGAGGCTTACATACCTCTTCCACCTTGAGAAGTGCATAATTCGATATATGAGTGGTCATAAAGACCCATAGTTGACTGTTGAACTGAGGTCTTCTGGATTGACTATTATTAGCAAGTCTTGCCATGATCTCTACACTCATATCTCTGTGGATATGTTCAAACTGTCAAACAATAGTTGAGATATCACTTTAAGTGCTAGATAGATGACTCTTTAGCACTCGATGCATTCCTTCCAGACGTGAGGTTGTGATATTGCCAAAATGACGATGATTATCGGTGAAACAGCGCCAAACTCCTTCGTTTCTAGTCCACCAAGTATAGGTTAGATAGTCGACGATTTGAGGCTCACCTCGATACTCTTGTTTCAACTTATCCCAAGCTGAATTAGCGTCCTCCTCAGTGATAGTGTTCACGCATTTCCACCAGCTATTCATGAGACGTTTAGTTGGACTTGAATCCTTGCGATGTCCTCATTAACATCCTCCTGTGTTGCAAACCCAAGGTCTCGCTGAGTGAATGATCTCCATATCTTCTTAGCCTTACTCATGATTGCCTTGTTGATATGCCAGAGACAGAGTAAATACGAGGCAAGTGGAAAGACAGCCTTGATAGCATTGGCAAGGGAATAGGCGGCGTCTGTGATGAGAACTCGCGGAGGTGAAATCTCACAATGTTCAAGGATTTCAAGGAGACTTCTCAACACCCACTGATAAATGCCGATCCAAGGAAGAAGGATTCATTGTTTACTGTCACACCAATCATATTAACCAGTGGCATGTTGAAACGATTGGTTTTATATGTGGTATCCACCAACAAAACATCAGGATAAAGTCGAAAGAGATCAAGGCCCTTGTGGTGAAAGAATGCGAGGCCCTCCAGTTTTAAATCCTTGGTGTTGTATAGGGTTCGATATTGCCATTGCTCTGTGATTGCTAGAAGGAGTGCCTGAATGGGTGTTCTACCCTTTAAGTCAACCTTTTCATGTCTCTTGCGCTCATTATTCACATCCTGACGAGTGATGGAGATATCATGAAGTGAGTGAATATATAAGATAGTTGATTGCACTCCGATACCCTCAAGGAGTTGTTCCTTGATAAATACATTGACTTCACCCTGTCGACCGCGTCGGCGGAGGCTTGGATGAGTTAAAGGCCTCCAGGATGGCTCGTGAGAATGCTCTTGATGAGTACAGATAAGTCGCCATAGGGAGCCTTCCATAGAGCGCTTCAGCACCATTCGAAAGTGACAATTCCGAGTCAAGGTGCCCTTATATCGATGAACAACATGATTGGCGCTTCTTTTTCTGCTTCGCGGGTTAGCGCGATCACAGACTAGATCGATTGAATTGATTTGATTTGGCCTTAGATGCTAAGATAACCTTTTCGATGAATGCGAAGGCCATATCCGCGAGGCCCTGTCCACCTATCAAGGAACTCCCAGGCCTCCTCAGTTGAGTAAAACCTAGTCTCACTAGGCGGGAGCGCAAATGGGATGAACGGGCCCTCTTCCTGTGCCTCTTCAATAGGCGGGAGCGTAAATGGGACAACAGGGCCCTGTTCCTGCGCCTCCGCGGCCTCTTCACTAGGTTGCGGGTCGTCGAGAGCCTCCGGGGCATCTTCCTGCGCCGCGGCCGCCTCCGCGACCTCCTCGGCCTCCTGGTCGGAATTGCACTCATAGAACTCGTCATTTGATGCTGTTTCATAGGCCAATAGGGCCTCCATTTCCGCGTCTAGTTGGGCGGGGTTCGACATGACTAGACAGCGCAGTGATAGACGCAGTGATAGGCGCAATGATATGTTGAGAGGGTTGTGATCGAGGAGTAGCAGGGATAGAATGGAAAGGGGTATACCTCAGTTATGCCAAGACAGACGCTAACCTAATTAGGGAGCGCTAACCGCTTCAGATGGGTGCGTAATACCAGGTGTGCGCCAAGACGATCGCTAACCCATTGTAGATGGGTGCGTAATACCAACCGTCGGGTGCGTAATACCCATTACCACGAAAAACGTGCAACCAGATTCGGTCATGAAATGGCCCAACTAGGAAGGTCTCATTAAAGGTCCCGAACAACCAATTTTACGACATTGGACAACAATACACGCAATGTGTCAACAAGGGAGGCAGCTTCGGGAACCTCTGTACCCTTCTCATCCTGCTTGTCCTGGCCACTCCGGCTTGGCCCGCTTCGGCCAGGACATATCACAATAACAGGAGTAGATGGGACAGGGGTCCTATCGCTGTGCATGTCCTACGCCATTTGGAAAGCTGGGCGGCCCGTCCTGCGGTTTCCCATGTCCCAGGACAAGGAGCCCCGGGCAACCCCGAGCCTGGAACAGGGTGCGCCCACGACCTCGTGACCGTGCCTGATCTGGCAAGTACCACTTGGCAGGACTGCAGTACAGACGAAATATAGCGTGATTTCGAGGTTTACGTGTGAACTTCCAACCGTCTTCCACCGCACCGCAATAGATCATGACTTTCAAATCAATGCGCGGGGTGATACGTTTTTACTACACTGCACTGCACTGCACTGAGCTTAGTTCCACTTGATGATGAAGATATTCAGTGCATGATCGTGCCGTGTCACTCGACGACGATGATTCGCCATTTAACGACATTGGCATCGGCGTCCTCGGGTATTGCATATGCAATTCCGTGCCCTCCTGCGGGTTACCACTATGCGGATAGCCTGGTTGTTTCAACACAACTTCGACTTAGTTCCGATCACCATAGCATGTCTCCGCGCTTCAATTTGGATTGAACCACGCGATGTCATAATTGTCCTCTCACCCCTTCTCATTTCTCCTTTGTAATGACCGTGTCCTCGATTGGTGACGCCTCAACACCCTCCGTGCTACCGTGGTAGTCTGCCTGCTCCTCCAACGTTTGATGCCTTGTCTCTGGAATCAGCAGGGTGGTGAGCACTCCACAATGCATGAAGAAAGTGAAAACTTCCATCACATGATTCGGACACTTATTCGTGCCAGTTTCATTTCTTAGGGGTCCAATTGAGCCCTGAGTGAGAAGAGTACCGTCTTTTCCCGCAGCGGCCGAGATACCGCGCGCTGTCAATCGAAGGTGTATAGGATACTGTTCACCAAGGATTAAAGAAATTAGCTCTCAGCGATGATATTTTGCTAGGCTAATGACCTCGGCAACGAACATCGTACGGTTTGCCCTCGACGTTGGAAAAGAATTGGCAAAGACCGTACAACGCTAGGAGCGCATATGCCGACGACAATGAGCTGGCCATCTCACTGGGTTTACGGCCGACTGGATCGATAAGCGCAATCGGAACCCGATATATCGGGATGTAGCCGGGATGGCTCGGATGAGATTGCTGACGGTCGTATTGTGCAGGTTGTCGTAGACATTTTCAGGAATCGTTCAAGCCCAGGCCATGACTCTGCTGTTCCGAGCAGATCTTCCCATATCTCCATTGCCGAAACCAGCCGACCGAGTCAGACCATGTTGCAAAGGTGGTTCGTTCCCCCGACGACTCTCTCCAGCGTGACCTTCCTTCGCCTGTCCGTTTCGCTTACCACGAAGATAAGCTCGAACATCCGATTTCGCCTTTTAGCACCTATGGCGATATCTGCAGCGCGCTGTAGTGTCGGGGATTGTCAAACGGAAGTACACCGCTGCAGGAGCTAGGACGTGCACGAAGGCAACAATACTGCGCCACGACCTATCGGCAGCGAGCATTACAGTCAACTGAGGAGAGACAACGTCGAGATCAAGCCCAGCTGTTGATCACCGAGCTTAGTCTCCATATGCCATCGACGATCAAGGACTTTTGAGTCCGTGCCGATGTCCATAAGTATACAATCGGTTGGCATGTAACAATATGCTCGGTCATTGGTTGAAACGGCTCATAAGACGAAAAGGTGTACCGAGGCCGCATGGTTCTTGAAATGCGACTTTCCTTCGAAAACCTTTCCACGGCAAGCCACCTTGTCGGGGCAAGGAATTCGATCCTTTTCTTGAAATTGTCGTAGGCGACAGCGTTCTGTATGTCTCTGGAGGGAGTGTTTACCGGCATACCGCTTCTCCCGATCTTCCTGGGGGATATTACTGCATAGACAGAAGAGGCATTGAAATCCCTGACACGTCAACGGCACGCAGCCTTCGGGCGTCGACGAGAGCGGTAGAGTCAGCGTAGAGACTACAGTAGTCGCAGTATCTGTTTCTCCTGTGGAACGTGAATATTTCCTAGACAGTCTTTCACGTCGTGTCTCACGTCGCCCTTCACGTTGTCGACATAGTGAGATCATGGTTGCGGAACATTTTATGTGCCGGGACAGAGCCTTGGGACCGGTGAATACAGCGGGGTCGCTCATGGCCGCTTCCGCAATCTGCCGTCGTTCAGGGATTTTGATCTGGGTCGGGGTGGACTCTGAAGTAAGCTCTTGCCCTTCAGCTGAGGTTCCTTTGATCTGTCGCTGAATCGCCTCAACAGGAGCTGTTTCGTCGGACTGCCGCTGAATACACTTCAACAGAGCTCGTTCCTCAGCTCGAATCGTGCTGTTAACCATGCGTTCCAACTTCTTGTACTCGGCATGGATTGGTTCTCCGATCGCCATTCGAAAAAAGCCAAACTCTCGAAGGATGACACCGCGAACCCGATCTCGTGACTCCAGAAGCCGGCGGACAGATGGCAACCGTCGAACCTGCTGGCTCTGTTCGTCGGTCAGCTTTCTCGGTCGGTTCGGATCGCGAAGACGGCCGATGCGGCTGGCCGATTTGGCCGCCTGCGGATTGGCCTCCCGGTTCCAGAACGCGTCTTGCGTACTGTAGCGGATCATCCGAGACAGGTAATTCCGTTCGAAGATCGTAGACGACCCAACATGATCTAGGGCAAGATTACGGACGGCTGCATTAGATTTAGGATCATCTGAGTTGAGTGATTGTGTTAGCAGGATGAGTTCCCCTCAACAGAACTGTTGGAGGTTACCTACCATTGATGGCGTTGCCCAGAGCTCGGCGGAGGCAGTACGTCGTCAGCGTCTGGAGGTAACCCAACGCCTCACCGAGACGTTTGACCCACGCCTGATAGACGTTGTAGGTCAGAGCTCTGTCTGGCGAGGTCTTGACGCCTTCCTTGGTGGCGATCGCACGGCGAAAAATAGGCACGTCAAGCATCTCCTTTCTCCACGGGATCGGCTGACATCCCTTTTCCCGCCGCGCCCGGAGACGGAAGAGAACATCGGGCGACTTCAGATCGGGCGGCCCGAAAGCCGAGTCATCGAAGGCCAAGCTGACAATGTGGGTGATGACACAGAAGATTGGGTTGTCGTCTAAATTGAAGGTGTACGTTTTCCTTTGTAGGAGGGTTAGCCACAAGAACTCCCCAACCGAGGGGTACTCACGGTCGTTTCCGCTTCTGGCGGGACTTAGTCTTGGTCAATTTCACCCCCAAGCGCAGCATGTCGACACGAGTCTCGGCGTCCTTCTCGATGTAGAGGTCCAGGTCGCGGTAGGTCAAGTCCAACAGGGCTTGAGGTCGAGACCCGGTGAACGCTGCCAGCAACAGAATCGCTGCCAACTGGAGTCGTTGCCGTTCATTGGGAAACCAGTTGATATCCGAGGCCCAGTGGTAACGGATGAGCTCGACGAAATCGTCCGCCTCCATGAGAGGCTTCTCGATCTCCTCATTGTCCAGGCCATATTCTTCCGTCAATGGCCCTTCAATGAACTGTAGCTTCAGCGGTCTGGCGGCATACAACATTGCTTGTTTTACGTACCACGAAGATCTGCCTCATGACAGCCGGGTCCATCCGACGCTGTGTCCACATGATGTACAGCTGACTCAGTTGCCGCCAGTAGGTCGTCAACGTACTGGTTTTCTTGATCGTGTACGTCCGGAGCAACCAATGTAGGAAGTTCTCCATCCGAGCCGTGGCGCACTCGCGCAGGGTCTCTTGTGGATCAAGCTGGAACTTGTCACAGTATCTTTGCAGAGTCAACAGATGTCCCCAACTATCAGGTCATGGCACGTACTCCTCGAAGAGGCGCTGAATGCGGTCAACGTGGTAGATAGTATTCGGTGCATACAACGTCGTGGGACGGGTTTCTGACAAGGCCTCCTCATATTTCCGGGCGAGGACGTCGAGTGTACAGACGTCATCGGTAGTATGGCTGGAGTATGAACCCCCAGAACTCAGGTTGACAGTGGTCAACTTCTTTCGGCGAGGCATGTGGCTCGAGGATACGCAGGGACGGATCGGACAAGGCGAAGAGGAACGGGAGGAAGGGACGAAAGTGAGGTCGGCATGTTGGCGATGCCGTCGTATATATATCTCATCCAGGGCTCGTGCAGCTAGCACAGCGGTTGGCAATGGGCAGGGGTATCAGGGCGTCGCCTGAAGCCAGTTTCACTTCCGACTCCGTTTGATGAGCGGGGGCATTTTGACGGAGGGACGGCGGGAGAACTGCAAACAATTTGGAATTCGGGAGACGTCCACGAGTCTCACTCCTAGGATCTTCGACATGGGTGGGAGGTCGCCAATGCATGCTGTTGAGATTGTGACGTGAGACACACCGAAAGAGAGAGGGAGAGAGGGTCGGGTGAGAGAAATGGTGTGTGGGTGTTGGGTGTAAGGCAGAGAGAGAAGGTTGTTCGTCAAATCGTCAAAAGCGGCGAGGGACAGGTGGAGCCGGCCGGTGGAAAGGGATCGCAAAAGCGGCTACGGACGTCGTCGCGAAACGGCACCCTTTGCCCCAGGACACAGACTTAGGAAATAAGAAAAACTAATAATGTCACGATATTGTGAGTGCTTAAAAAGATAACTAGTAATACTCTTAATAACTAGTAAAGATAAAGTGAGAAGAAGAAGTTGTTTTAAGTAATAATGGCTATGAAAGAAGAGTTTAAGGAATAAGATTAATGATTATAAGGGCGTAAGGAAGTGATAAAGAAGATAGTATAAGAATATATTAAATATAGAGCGTTAATAAGGTCGTTATATATAATCTTCTTACTAATAAAGATAGCTTTTTTTCACTCGACTTTATATAATAAGACTATAGAGCCTTATTTTAAGGGTCGCTTATAACTTACTATACTTACTAGTTAATCTAATTATAGTCTAGAACTTATTAATCTTTATAGAAAGCGATATTATTAATCTCTTAGAGTATCGCTAAAGATCATGTATAAATTAGATTTATTTCTTAGTTAAGAGCTAATAGGGGCCATCGAAATAGTTATTAAGAGTCTCAAAAATCTAATCATTATTATCTCCTTTTTAACTTAAATCCTGAAATTCTGGCGATATACTTAAATCTTTACTTAAGTCTCTATTTATCTCTTATTAACCTTAATATACTAGTCTCTCTAATGAGAAGCAATATTCACTATTAATCGCTATATAAAATTGATTTTTATGCGTAACTAGAAACTATATTATTCTTTCTCTCGTATAAGGTTATTTCTCTATAAGACTATTCTAATTATATACTTCTAAAGACAGTTTAATATTATATATTTAGTAAAAAGCGAGTGAATATAGTTTATAGAGTTCGAGATATTTTTACTTCACTAAAACTTATAATTCGCTAGACTTTAGACTAAATATATACTTCCACTATATTTATCTTAACACTCTATTATATACACTATCTATTCTCGTAATTAATAACTAACTAAAAGATTATAAGCGATAACAACGATAGACACTCTATAACGTGTCTCCTAATATATTATCTTCTTCTCTTCTTCTTAATTCGTGTCTCTTCTCTACCTTTTTCTCTTCTAGATAGAATCTATAATTATAGTCACTCTAGCGCGAATAATGAGTTGTCACGCGTAATAATTTATATTACTGCGCCTAGAGTGACTTGAAGCGTCCTCGCTTTTTCTTTCTTTTATAGCCATAATGACTTCCACTTCTCTCATAACTAGAAGCTATAAACAACGTATATAAGCACTATATCTAGTCACCTTAGGCTGCTAATAACCTTCGATAAGGGGACTTCGCTATTAGAAGTAAAAGAGAGTGGAAATAAGTTAGCTAGTGGCTCCTTATAGATAAATAATAATAACGCTCTCTCAAGGCATTAATAGTAAAAGTTATGAAGATACACTTGAGCGTGAGAGAACTATAGTTATATTAGCGCGATAAATTATATATATATCTTGCCTAATTAGGAAGATAATAATATTATATACTCGATAGAAAGTAAGTAAATATAATTTATAGGGTTTAGAGCACTCTTACTTTATCGAAACTTATAATTCGCTAAACTTCTTACTCTAAATATATAACTCGCTCTCTATATTCACGCTTCACTTCTTTATATCTTTTTATTACGCACCTAGTTCTATATCTATAATAATGAATCCTAAAGGTTCTCATGACTAATAATGTCGCTCTAGATAAGTGTAAGAATTAAAAATCAATTAAAGAAACCGATTAATCTTTATAGAAAGTAAGGTTAAGAAAGAAAAAGAAGAAAGAAGAAGAGTAGAAAGATAAGTTCACTAAATAAAATAATGTCTTCTATACTTATAGTGAGATTAAACTTCTATAGCTAGTTTATATTTCTATAATTATCTCTTTTTATGTTATTCACTATATCTATAGATTCTTCTCAAGAGATATTCTTTTAAACTTAACTTTAAACTTTAGTAAAAGAAACCTAAAAGGAAAAACACAAAAAAATATCTCATAAAGACTAATATATCTTTAAGACTATTCTTTATAACTTCACTTCATTATAGTAATATATTCTAAGTTATTACTTTTCTTAACTTATTCACTCTCATTAATCTTTCTCTTTTAATATAGTTTTTACTCTTAAACTTATCTTAAAGAGATAGTTTCTTTAGTCTCTCTTAAGGCCTTCCTTAATAACTATAAATTCTATTCTAAAACATGATTTATCTATATTCTCGATCTTTTTTATAAAGATTAGGCTTAAGATCTCGCGCTAAAATTCTTCAGTAAAACCCTTAATTTTAGCTTTAATATATAATCTTTATTAAAGAGTGTGTTTATACACGCACTTTATAGTTAAATATAAAGACAAGAGCTTATTAGATAACGACTATAATCTAGCCACTAAAACCGACTAAATCGAAGAAGGAAAATATATAATAACCTAATCTCTTCTTTATCTCTTTCTCTTCGCTGATCTTCTTAGTGACTTCAGTGACTTTAATAACACTAGCAACTCTAAAGTAGACTATTAAGAAAGTTAGCATAATTACGCTATTCACTTCTTCAAGTTATCGCACCCGAGATATCTTATTAATTCTAGTAACTCTGGAGCAAGAAGGAAAAGAAAATAAGAAATACTGTGTTAAGGGCTTGAAATATATAGTAGAAACGCGTAAAAAGAGCGTTAATATATATATTCTCTCTTCTCTTTAATAACTTATCGATCTTGATAACTTATTAAGGCTTTAACTCTTTCTCTTCTACTTTATCTATAGTCTTTAGACGGCGCGATCTTCTATATTGCTTAGTATAATATCTTGAGATATTAATAGTGATATTTAGTTATTATATAGACTTTTAGCGATTTATATTATTATACTTTTCTTTTATCTCGCTATTTTAACTTCTCTCGCTTTAGGCTATAACTTAGTTTAAGTCCTTTATTATGTTTCGCTCCATTAGAGATATCACTGCATGTATTGTTCCTTGATAAGTGGGAAGTATAGGAGGCGAGGTCGCTAAAAACGAAGTACTTAAGCGAGTACTAGAGCGAAGTGATTACAGCCCAAAATATATAGATATAATCGTGAACGAAGTTAACTATATAGTGAGTTTATATAATGACTGTATATATATAGATCATGGAATTAGTGGCTTCTCTAGGCTCTATAGGCTTTACAAGTAGAGTCTATAGAGCTATAAAAGCTATTAGGCTCTGTTCTCTTTATGTTCTCTTGATAGAGCCCACGATCTTGGCTTAATCACGTGATCTCGTTTTCATGACTCATATATATCGAAGATAATAACGCTAAGTGGCTATCATTATAGCTTAGTTTACAGCCTTATAAAAGGCCTGATTTATAATACTTTCTCTCTCCTAGATTTATTCATTATTCTTAATGTATATAAAGTGAGTCTCCTTCTGTGTTCGTTGTTCTTTCTTTAATTATAGCTCACCATGCCACAATAATATTCTCATAAACGCCTCGATTCTTTCACCTCTCGCTAATTGAACACTGCCAAATGAATCTGTTCTGTCGGGGTTAAATAAACAGAAATGGGTCGATGTTTCCGTTATTAAGAGCAGAACTTGATTTACTATATAATTAAGAGATACATGAAATATAATAACTATATTGTATTGAACGTGCGGTATTATGATGATTATTTTTCGGATATCGAGTTTAATGGCTTGAAGCGCTAAAAGGAGACGCTTAAGAAATCTATTAAAGATTAGTGTGTCGAAGTAGCTCGCCTAATTGTTGTAGCTATATTTGCCTTTATCGCACTGGTCGCGATATAAGAGAAGGAGATAAAATTGAATGAGCGATTAGATAAACTAATCGCTCGTTAGTTCGAGATATTGGTTTAGGAAGCTAAGGCCCTGAATATATTAAGTGATCTAGAGAACGCTAATAATTAAGAGCTATAAATAGCTTTCTCGCTATTTAAGTCCTTTATCTAGGGTAACTTAATAATGAATTTCGACTTTATTAGTCTTGATGATATTATTAAATTATCTTATATATCTAGATAAGATATTCTTTTAATTTCTATATACTCTCTAAGTTATTATATTCTAATCACTTTGTTAGATAGAGCTATCGTTCTTTCTCGACTTTAATATTTAGGATAGCTTTTATATTATATATTAATTATTAGATTTCTTTATGTATCAGCACTAATCTTGGTTTAGCGTTTAATGATGCCTTCTTAAGAAGTGATTTATAAAAGATTGAATAAATATTTATTTCTTTAGATAGTTCTAATTTAAAGTTCACTAATCTAAGTTTCTTCTTAATTTTATAGGGTCCAATCTTAATGTGATCTAATTTATTAGATGGCCATTATGTTTTGATGTTTTTTCTGAGAAGGTATACTATCTTCTCTTCTTTAAAGTTTGGTCCCTTAGATCTTTGTTTATTTAAGTTTTTAACTGTTTTTTATAATATCTTCTTAAGTTCTTTTTTTAATAACCTATATAATAATTATAATTTCTTAATCGAGATTACTATCTTTTCTGTAATTAATTTAAT